TTTGACCCTGCTAACTTATGGCTATATTGCCTGAACCTCTCCCCAGGTGGCGCCACGCTAAGTCAACACGTGGCTTCTGCCAAAGTGCCCACTCCTACAAGGCCCCTTATAGTGTCTGTCCCACCCACCATCAAATGGCAGGCGGAGCACTTTGGTGCCCATCTGGACCTTGAGAGAGGCACCTAGAATTTTGTAAGACTGTGCAATAAAATTGCAACGTTTATAGCTGGTCACTGTCGTTGCCTCGCTGTGGTTTCCTCGCAACCACGTCCACTTCGCGTGCTGCGTCCACTCTGCTCCATTTTCCACTGGCGGTGAAAGCTGTTCCACACCAACACCCCAAAGCCACAGTGGGTTGACTTTTGAAAACTACTGTCTAAATATACAAAAATGTGTGCAATGCAAGCCGTCAATAAAATTATAAAATAATTATAAAATTAAAAAAAATAAATTTCTTTTTGTATAATTATATATTTATTGAGTATCCATATTCCGAAGAAATTAACCTATTTTACCCTTTCCTTTCATTCGTTTAAAATTATGTAACATGCCGAAAACAGCATTTCTGACCCAATAAAGTATATAAATCTTTGATCCGTGTGAGCGTTAAGAACTCGAATCTAGTTGAGATCGAGCATATATATTCAGTGTTAGAGTATTGTGCAATGCTATTCAGAAATGTATATATTTCTTCGATCAATATAAGTTATTAAGAAATTAATAACAATACCATTAATTCCCTTTTTGCTTATATATACTTTAAAAATTTTTATTTAAACAAAACTAAAAAATCAAACAATTTATTAAAGAAGTAGTATTTCGGTAAAAAATGTATGGAGTTAAAATAATTAAGCTAAGTTTACTTAATAGACTGTTGCCTTAAATTTATTTTATTTTTTTTTAAAAACAATGTGATGCTAAGAAAAGCTTATCATTTGTAATGAACTTGTTTTAGTTAGCTCGACCCAGTGTGCCCGTCCAGTCGTGACCTTTACGAGTGGCCATTAACGCTTTTTTATCTGTTCATAAATTTTAATTTTGGCAAAATACTCCAAGTACGTGCCACACCCCGAACCTCTTCTCGCGCCCTCCATCGACTCGAGGCGAAGCCAACATAATTCTTATTTTTAGCTTGTCCGGGTCCGGGTGTTTCCTCCGTGTTTGTTTGGCTTTTCGTTTTGGTCAGGAGAAATATGACTTGGTGGCTGCCGTTGGCCGTGTAGCAGTTTTCCTTGAGCCTTTTTCCGCCGAGCGCCGTGGCTTCGCCTTTGCGTTTGAGTCGAGGACCCGTAACCTTATTTCGCCGGCGGAGCATCCTCGGCGCTGGCGGACTTGTTTATCGTCCTTTGCATCTCATTGAGCTGGTTGCCGCTCACGAACGCCACCCACCTCCCCCACGAACGCTTTTCCGGAATCTCGGCGTTTTCACGGGCCAAAAGAGCGGCGTTTGTGTCTTGCCTGAACGGTCTGGCCTTTTCCTTTTTCCCTCGCCTTGCTTCGCTCGGCACTTTTCAGTTTTCCATTGCATATTTAACCTAATTAAAATGAGTTATATGAGCAAGGTGGGGAGAGCGTGTTAATCCTTGACCTGCTGACTTTGCCGGAGCTCATTTTCCTTGTTGCCCAAAGTGGCGCCTTGAGCTGAAGATGTTTCGCTGGCCCCAGAAGTTGCTATCACAAAATGTTTCACGTTTCTTTTCCACATTTTCTGAGGTTTATAGTAGAATATAAATTCTATTTGAAAAGTTTAATGTATGCTGCGATTAGATACACAGCGTGAAGCATAAAAACATTAACAATTTAATAATATTTAATAAAATTTGATGTTGTTTTCTTTTATTTCTGAAGCTTTCTTCACCAACGATTAATTAACATTTGTTGTTCGCATAAATCAACCACATTTATGGAAACATTTACTGAGATTTAATGGCGTTTTTTAAAAGGACAATTAGAGGTTATTAAAATGGCGGCAGCTTCAACATTGAATAAATAATATTTAAAGGCTTTTATTTAGCTTTTTTTGTTTTATTTCTGAATCTTTGTGCATGGACGATTTAATGGGATTTTTTGTAAAGCTAATTTGGTGTTCTTTGTTTAACAAACTGGCGGCAAATACAATATAATAATATATAAATGAAGGTTATATATTATCATGATGCCTTTGTATAAAAGCCATTGTTAAAGCTAAGCTACAAAAAGCCAAAGTCCGTTAAAATCGATATATGCAAAGGGGAAAATAGAAAGAAGTTAACAAAGGCCAGTCAAAGGCTCCGACACCATCCAGTTGCCCCATGCTGACTTTTATCCTGCCTCTTATCATTGCAGGTATGTTAATGGAGCAAACTCTCAACAAGTAGATCTCCTTGCCCGACAAGCAGCAAACAATGACCAGGAGCGAAGAGCAAACTAACCTAATGAATTTATGTACGGGGTACGAGGTGCAAGGTGCAAAACGCACAAGGCCAGGCAAAGGCTCTAACTGAAAGTACTTAAGCCCATAAAATATTCAAGCCGAGAACATGTGGGGAAAATTACAAAGAGCGCCCGGAAAAGGCCACAAAAATCCAGCACTCAGGCAGGGAAAACAGGGTGGTGGAAATTGGCTGGACAGATAGGCGGACTCTCGGCAGAAGAAAGAAATCCCAAACAGGCATTACACACAAACTTATACAGAGAAAATAATTAGTTTTTAAAGTATTTAGTACACAAAACACTTAAGTGGCGTGTACAAAAAGGTTTTAAATATATTTATATTATATTTCTTGAGAAAACTTAACATATTTATTTTTCACAATGCAGCCCTTAAAATAATATATGGTGTACCTTAAAAACTTGGACGATTGCAGGAAAATTAAGTTTAAGCGGATTTGGAAAAATGTGTCAAATGTTTATTAATCGAATAGAACTAATGCATTTAGATTCAGGCACTTTACAATATTTCGCGTGTTTATCCTTATTTAGTCATAAAAAGACTTATATATATTTTGTAGAAATTAAATATCTCTGTAATGCATTCTTGGCGGTTTTCAACTTAGAAACCGTACAGAAATGTACAGCTTAATCGTTTTAGCTTACCATTAAAACGAGAATACGTGCCTTAATAGACATTAGTTTTTCCTGTGCACACTCTTAAACGTATCCAGTGCTCGAAGAAAGTCACAGTCGCACAATTTGCCATTGTAAGTGTAGGCGGACGGAGGAAATAGGGGGTCTCACCCTTGCCCCCGGGGATAGGCAGCCAGCCACTGATTGAAAAGAAAATTACGGGCCAGTAGTTGGCCGCCAGATGGTCTCCACATCGACAGTGCTGCTGATGAGCAGCGTAAATGTCCTGCGGAAGGAAGGGGGAAACGGAAGCGGGCGGCGCCGCCACTGGGACCAGCGGCCTTGAGCTCCGGAAGTGGTAAGAGCCAAAGGGGCAGAAACAGGGGAAGGGGCGGGGGCACCGGGCTCCCAGCCATTTGCATTTAAGAGTACCCATAGATATGTCTATGCCCCTAGACAGCATCCGCTGATGGCAACTGTTTCGTTATCCTTCGCTTAGCAGGTTTCTTTTCCCTCTTTTACTGTGGAATTTTAAATTCTTTCAATTCCCTTCAAATTTTATAAATTATTTGTTTTTCTTTGTGTGAAAAGAAAACCTTTGATAATCCGCGTGCTCTTAATAAATAATTTTGTATTTTAGAGATTCTAGAAAAATTGAATTTTAAATAAACAATTCTGTGTCATACTTACCTTGATACTTACCTTTCTTGAAAATGTTTTCTTTTTATGTTGGTAGTTTCTTACTGGAAACAGAAACTTAAAACCTTTGTTTTTAAAAAGTGTTTAATCTAATCAGTTTAAAAATGGGTTTTACCATTCCTTAGATAATAAAAAAAGCACTTTAAATTTAAAATCTATGTTCCAATTATGCCACTGTACCGACATTGGAGACGAGGGCTTAGATGGCGCGGTGGCTGAGCTGCTGGGATAGCACGTTATGGATATTAAGCATGTCCTTAAGCATAAAATGTCAATAAGTGCACCCAATCTATGCTAAGCAGTTTATATTGCGACAAGCCACTGAGGCACCGTCTCTTTCTGAGTCCTTCCAAGTCCTTTCTAGTCCCTCCCTCCTCCTCCCTAGATCCCCGATTTCAAGCAGGAACTGCGCTAACAATGCAAAGGACACGGAAAAGCACAATCGCGCTAGCACACATTTGAGCTTATCTATATGCATGCGTCTCATATTTTCCGATAAACGTATTTGGATAAGCAAATTTCCCTTTGCATTACACTGTGCATGAACTGGTAAGACTTTCCCAACAAAAATTAAAATATTGTCAAAGATACAAAAATGAATAAAATAATTTTAAATCAAAAATAAGTAAATTCTTAGCTCTCGTCCAAAACTTTTATAAACTGAAGGCTTAAACTCCCAATCGAGAAAACGAAAATATTTTTCTTGGTTCATTCCCTTACATTTTTCATAGCGTATTTATTCTTCATTTACTTGCAAGTTTATATCAGCATTTTTGCAGAATTTCGCATCAAAGGCGTTGCAGAATATGCCACTTATTTGTTCTATGTAGGAAGAAAAATTAATAGTGAAAATCCTGTTTTGAAAATATTTAAGGTGGCGCATCTTCTGGAAAAGTTAAACCAAAGGTCTTAGTAACATAGTTTTTTGGAATATTTTCAAAGCTATTGAATGTTTCTTCTTCTTAAAAGTGTGTGTTATAAATATTTATTAATGAATATATAAATATCTGGTGTGTTAGCAAATAAGTTATTTCAGACTTAATCAAAGTACAAGAGCTTTGAAGGCTTTCCCCAATGTGATTTGAGAAGAATGTTTCCAGCACTCCATTCTGTCTCCGATACTGTCTTATCCGCGTGTCACTCACGCAAAACATTTCTAATTTCATTGTAGAAATACGTTTTTCTTATCACCTTGTTCTGGTATCTACAAACAGGCTGTGACACAAAAACGCAAGATAGCTTTCCGTACTTAAATATCGGCATAGATTGGGAAACGAGTTCAATTCGTTGAGTTCCGGAAGAGGTGGTGGTCTGACCAAAATGAGAGGTACTAACAGCAGAATGATGATTGGTCTGAGACTAAAGATAGCTCACCGTAGTTCAGCAATGCGCCTTCCACTTGGGTATACTTTTCGCCTTCCTGGCCGAAATCCGAGCATTTTCGATGGAGGAGAAGTGCAAGTTCTGGGCTGGAAAGGGTTACATTGGAGACCCAAGTGATTGCCAGGCCTGGGGATATTGCCAGAACAACAAACTCATCGAGCAGCGTACTTGCACCGAAGGATTACTGTACAATTTCCGGGATGGAACCTGCAAACCAGCATCGGAGGCGATGTGTCATTCCCATCTCTCGGAGATTTGCTCCGAGCTTGAGCCAGGGGATTTGGTCGCCGATCCAGCAAATTGCAGGAGATTCGTTGAGTGCGACAACATTAATAATCCCATTTGGAGTTACTGTGCTGAGGGTCAGGTGTTCAGTAACAAGCATCAAAAATGTCTGGAGGAGATCTCCGGTTGTCCACAGGACAACATCTGCTCATATATGGTAGACGGTTCGTTCGTTGGAGATTCCAAGACCTGTCGAAATTATTTCAAATGCTACAATGGATTTGGCATCCAGCTAAACTGCTCCAGTGGTCGATATTTTAACCGAAAAACGGGTAAATGCCAATCCTGGCGACCAAATAACTGCCACAATGATGAAGAGACTCCCCTGGTGACGCCTCTAGCCTCGGATTTTCATATGTGCTCGAAATACTACCAGGAGGATCGGTCCGGAGTGCAGCTCATTTCGGATTTGCTGACCTGCTACGGGTACTACACATGCACCTCCCGATTTGACAAGGGTCAGTGGAGCAGCTGTCCCTGGGGACAACACTTCGAGTGGTGGAGCCAGCGGTGTGGTTCGCCGAAGGACAATAGCTGCTCCTACGATCGCTGCGGCAATGTGAACCAGGTAAAAATGACAGCCATAAATACGGGCTGCCGGGAATACACGATCTGCCAGGGTTATCGCTCGATAAAATCGCAGGAGTGCCCAGAAGACTTTCCCTACTTCAACGAAATTACGCAACACTGCACCGATGAATTTCCCAATCACAGGGTCTGCTACATGGACGGATAAAGAAAGGAATGGCTTCCCAAAATGTTATCAATTTGAATTCGGTAATATCCATATATTTAAATACTAATTACTAACAGTAAATTTAGTTAAGTGTGACAAAATAAATTCTAATAACTTATGCAAAGGGGTTTTGGATGCACTTAAACTAAAATAAATCTAGATATTTAACAGTTTAAAGCTCGTTTTCATCCAAAATTTACTAAAATAAGGAAAAAAGTGGCCCCGACCTTTTCATCTTGAATTATGTTTTGGAATCGTATATCTCAAAAGTACTTTGGTTTATTTCTCAATCCACGTAATGATATTAATGTTTTCAATTTGGATATACTAAAAGTTCACAGCTCGTTTCTAGAGAAGTTTACTATTTGTTTTCCGACTAAGATCAGCACAAACAATTGGCCTTTACGACACCAGAATATTCCCCAAAAAACAAGATCGCGAGGTGGAAAAAGGACAATATAGAAAGGTATAAACTAAGTTAAAATATAGTCGGAACCAAATTCATATACTAATTTCATGCTATAAGATAAAATGAATGCGTTTACAATTGAAAAGGTCTCTAGCTCTGGAATTCTGTTTTTGTAGTCGTATATATCAAAATGATTTTGCTTTTATTCTAAATTAAAATAAAGACAATTGTGTTTTTAATTTAAAAGCAATATTTATTTATATTTCTAAAAAAACAAATTCAATTAAGACCATAAGTACATTTTTCTTCGAGAAAGAAAACAATTTAAAAGGTATCTGGGGACAATCTATCACGAGTTTATGCTCTTTTCTGTAAACATCAATCGATAGCTCCGTAATTAATTGTTCATGCTTCATGGAAATTGTCTGCACCAAGAACCACACCCTTTTCCTTCTTCTTTAATCATTGGATACTTTCTCAAGAAAAAGCATGAGCTTGAAACGAAAACAAAAACGAATAACAAAGTCTGGATAAGATTTATGTTTAGCATTTTTTTGCATTCCACAATTTAAGTCTGTCTGGTAAAAAGAAAAAAACAGAGAATCTTAAGGAATTTCTTCATACCGGAATTCAAACTACCAAATAGCTTTATGCTTACATTTTGCAAAAAGAAAATGAGTAAATGGCTACCAGCAGATTAATTAATAATTTTCGCAATCAAAGTTGACGTTTAAAACCAAATTGTTGAAGAAAAATAATTTTTTTTTAATAGTATTTTAAACTGTTGACAAGTGATTGATAATTTGACTAATGATTGCTAATTATTGTAAGTGCTGTTTTTGTTTTTCCATTCAGTCATGCTCAAGTGAAGAATCAGCTTCAGCAGGAGACATCTTTCAGTTGAAGTTTTTCTGCCAGAAAATCAAATGAATCAACGAAAAATTCAAGTATTCCTCAGAGAGAGCTGTATTTATGAAAGCCCAGTGGGTGGGTGAGTGGGTGGCGCAGTAAACGCCATTGAATATGTGGGTGTTTTCGGAGGGGAGGCAATGGCTGCAGGCAGCCCAATGACGTGGCACAACAATACGTCGCGTCATTGAATTATTATGATTGACTTTTATTACACGGAATCGCAATTTATTTTACTTAACAACAGGCTGGGATCCCAGCCCGGAGTGCGGTTAAAAGTAGCGAAAATTTGAATGAAAAGTTGTAAAGAAATTACGTTATTTATCATTCGCAGAGTGGCGACCCAACGACAGGGACACATTCACAGAGCGAGCGAGAGGGAAAGCCCGACATCTCCCAAACCGTTTCCGTATCCGCTCATTTATTTACCACACTGTCAAGCGCACACCCACATACACAGAGAGAAAATATATATTCATATTAGTTCAAACACGGAATTAAAACTTGTACTATTTTGTTTTTTTTGTTCTTTTTATAAATTACCTACTAAAGTTAAAGTGTTTTTTAAAGATTTAATCACATATTCACAACTCAAAAACTTTGGATATATAATGATAAAAATATAAAAATAAATATAATGATATTTATATATATTCTAATAAATTGTATAACTACGATTTTTGGCATTGAAAAGCCACCGAACTTAAGTTCAATTTATTAACATTTTTTTCTGTATGCCCTTACCCGAAAATTGATGTTTTTCCGCCGTAGTTTGTGCACAGTTAAAAAGTCTTCCGCGGCGGTAGCAGAAATTCAAATTTATTGTTTGCGGTTTTCATGGCGTCCCGGCCACGCCCACCTTTAGTCGATGGGCTTAAAATTAGTGGCGTTGTCTTGCGAATCGATGGGCGTTTGATTAACGGTCGTGGCAAGAGATTGAATCGCTTAATTGCCTTAAAAGTAGGCGTGGCTGGGGCTGGAGTGGGGGGGGGTGGATTGATGGCAGGGGGAATTAATGGCAGGATAAAAGTCGTGACTATCCAATTACACACGATGTAGCCGGCTCAGGGCATTAAGCCGTTTTGGTTCCGCCATCACTTACCTTTAATTAGCTAATTCCCTTTAAGATCTTCGCCCTCAATTGTGGTTCGGGGATTACCCGATGGCGCACTCCGGGGATTAGAGTTTAGTAATTGCTGTAGAGGACTTTTCGGCTTTGTGCCCCACTGAAGAGCAGCGAGAGTAAATGGCAAAAGAAAGTTGCCCAGACTCCAAAGCCGCGAAAACGTTTTCTTCGGCTGAACATGGGATAAAACGGAGAATGACGTCTGAAAGAGACTGAGAAATGTAATGACGGTATTTATGTTATCTTCCATCTAACTCCGCACTTACATTTATCTCTGCCTATCTCAGAAATTAATTTCAATGAGAGTGAAGTTTTGATGGGGTACTAAATGGCAGATCTCTCATAGATTTTTATGAACTTTTTTGGCACTTCGATGTAGAGGAGTACATGTATTTTGAAGAGGGTTTCTACCGCCGGATAAGCTTTCAATTTATTCTTAAGCTTTCATTTATTTTAAGGAATCCTAAACGATATTCAACAGTCAATTTAATAGATTATTTAGATTTTTCCTTATATCAGCTAAGCAAAATATAAAAAAAAACAAAGTATATAAGGAAAGTTTATGGTAATTAAAGCCAATAACCAATACATGATTGAATTGTGTTTAATTGCTTTTTATATTTGAAAATTTTTGTCAATTGTCAAGTCGATAGCCATATTTGTAAGCACTTTATGTTCTAAATTAGGTATTATTTAAATAATAATCTAATAAAAAAAAATAATTTGTTATCATTTAAATTATTATTATGAACATGGATCAGCGACATTTGCATGAGCTTATCAGTGCGCTATCAATGCAGAAAACTGAGATTAATTTTATCTCACAAAATGATGTTTAAACCTCATTTAATATCAACCATTTCCAACCAGGCTGCCAGTTTTAATCAATTTCCATGGAATTTTCTTTGTTTTACCCATGTATTCATGCGCATTTTCCCCATTTAAAAATAATTCATACTCATTTAAGGGGGACAATTTGGCCGCAACCAGCGAAGGACAAAGAGCCGTGGGGTGAACCACCGATGTGGTGGGGCCAACCAGTGCAATTCAATGAGGTCTGGCTTCAACCGCAGGCCGCGACATTCCAGTGTCAAGCGTTTTCTTCAGATGGCAGTGAAAACCGCACAAAGCCGAGCCCCCAAGTTTAGCCTCGATTCTGGCCGGGCTTATTCAGTGCAGTCATGGCCAATGCCATTGCCACTGCCGCAGATTGTTCGTCCTCCTCACCGGATTTAGCTGGAGGCGATGGGCTACGCTTTTGTTTTTCCAACTGGTTGACTCGGGCCACCTTCTTTGGAAATGCAGGAGTTGCCCAACGAAGGCTTTCCCAACTCATCTAACATTTTCCATCTTACTGCCGGGCTGTTGTTTGTATGCGTCTGCTGTGGTTTATGTCCTCTCGTCGTTGACATTTAGTTGACACACACAACACGGACCCCGCCCCCTCCCCCACCGATCCCAGCCTCGTCCTTTTCGTCCTGGTTGTGGACTTCCGGCAACAGGCCCGGCAATGGATCATCGGCGTCTTTGTTTACACATCGCCACCGAAGTTTGCAGCTGCCTCTGCGGCAGTCCTTCTCCTGATTGTTCATCGTCAGCTGGTGCGCTTTATTGTTGCTAACTAGAAAAGCCAGAACGTCCATTCTGGTCTGCGGAATATCCTTCGCGATACTGTGGGATGAAAAGGGTCATTCTTTATACAAAATGTTTCACCACAGACCTTAAAGTCCTTAAACATTTCCCATCTCTTTAAAATGTATTTAAAAGTGCCCACTACAAATTAATAATTCGGCTTCTGAAAACCAATCAACTCAATTAAATGTTTTATAATGAGTCAGGGACTAAAGCTATTAAAACAAATAAGTCAAATGCATACCCAATTAATATATTTTAATGTTTAACATGATTGAATGAGTTTTTTTTTGTAAATTATGAAAGCATCAAATTATAATAATTGCTGCAAATTAATTAGTTACAATTGTTGTCCAAGGTGACAGTTCTGCCGGGAATTCGTAATAAATGTTAAGGTTGTTTTTTTTTTTTAAATCTAAAGCATGTAAAATATAATGAATTTATTCCACTGTTAGCCAGTGGTGTAAACAATTTTTGAAAGGTTATTTCGCCAGCAACAGCCGCGGTCCGCACTTTGTTCCGTTTTGCACTTCATTTGCCACCAGCCCACCCAACCTCCAAGTCGTCCTCCTAGTCCAAGGCATCCTCTCCTGCAAGTCGTCCTCCTCAGGGCAGTAAATTCTGTTTACCCACTGCGATGTCGTTGTCTTTGCAGTAGATGCATCGCCAGGACAGCTATTTGTTATGTCGTTTGACTGAAGCTGCTGACATTTATCCAGAAACTGCAGTAAGCAGAACGAATATGCAGAGGATGCTGCCTCAGATATTAAATCGCCTCCAGGCAATAAGTAACTGCAGAGCATTTTTGTTGGCTTTTTCTAGCCTTGAAATGGTGGCGCACATAAACTACAAGAATAGATGGACAAATGGGATTTCTTGTAACTCCATTCTATTATTTATAATTCTTCTAGTGCTTGCGAGAGTTATTTTTCTTTATTTCATTTTGTGACCACTTTCTGTATATATTTAAAATTTGCTACCGCTGCTCCCTGTTAACAAGATTTTGAGAAACAAGTTCGGAACTAAACTAAAAATAGGTTCTTAGAAAGTTGTCAAAGTTGCCGCAGCATAACATTCTGAACAGAAGACATTTTGTCAAAGTTGAGAAACAAGAAAAGAAACCACAACAACGAATGTCTCAAATATTAGTTTACCTTTGCATTTGCTTAACTTTGTTTTAGACTGTAGCATAAAGTATTTGAACTGAACAACTGTGGATAGGCAAATAATAATTTATTATACTGAGTAGGTATATAAAATAAAATAATGAAATCTGAACAGACTTATTTGCGTCTTGCTCCGGGTGCAGGTCTAAATGGTTTTCGCCGGGATTTTGAATCGACAATGAGCACAGATTGTCGCTTCAGGAAGTTACGGGAGGGCACTTCATTGTCATCGTCTGTGGTGGCAACTGTTGGTGAAATATTTGTGAAATGGTTTGAGTATATAAATAGGATATCAAACTTACCCGCCGCTGGGGCCTGTTCCGGAGAGGATGAGGAGGTGCCTGCAGCGCGCTGAGCACGTCCTGCGAATAGATTGTAGTAGCACACAGGCATGGGTTGCGGTTTCTCGCCCTCGGGAGCGGATGGCGACTTGGGCGGCTCCGCCTGGTACATCTCCTCCTCCTCCTCATCCACTATGTCCAACTTGGGTATCTCGAACGGAGGCACATCCTCCGATTTGCTCAGTTCCTGGCAGCGTTTGATCTTAAGTTTGAGTATCTAATGGAGCAAAATGTGTCAAGTTAATTCTTATTCCATAAAAATTGTATTTACCCACCTCTATCATATCCTCATCTTCGGCAGTGTGAGTCAGAAAATTGGGTAGTTCGGCTACGCTCACATGGAGCTTTCGTTCGGGTATCTCGATGTTGCTCTCGTCCACTTCCTGCACCTTGAAGATCATCTCGCAGATGCGTTCTTTAAGATACTTTAACACCCCCATCGATTTGCCTGCCTCGTCGGTGTCCAGTTTGCGATCCTGCTCCTTGGCGGCAATGCTGTTCTTGATTTGTTCAATGACCTCTTGGTTTCTGGAACGAAGTGTGAATTTAATTTTATTTCATAGATGGCATTCCAACGCGGAATGTACGCTTCTAAACTAGTCTAAACGTTTGGCGACTTAAAGATAGAGATTAAAATTTGACTTTTTAAAGCATCATTAAGCTAATTCAAATTGCACTTTCATACCTTGAACATTATTGAAGCTTATTAACGGAACAAAACAACCAAAAAAAAACATATTTTCGATTGTTTTTAAGATAATGCGAAATCGTACTTCATATCTTTAAGACGCTACAACATTCAAGACACTCACACTTCACTCTCCTTGACGTCTGAGAACTTTGATGCCTCCAGTTCGCTGCTCAGAGCCTCGCGTTCCGCCTCCAGATTGGCCTTTTCCGCCTCGGCCGCCTTCCTCAAATAATTCAAACGTGCTGCGGACTCCTTTTGGGCGCTGAATCTTTCGAAGACCTCGAAGGGCGAGGTGGCGCCGGAGGCCTCCATGAGCTGCTTGAACAGGGACTCCATATCGCTGGTGACGCTCTCCAGTTGGGACACCGGCTCCTCCTCGCCGTTCTCCGTCTTGGCAGTGTGCTGGTCACCCGAACTGGAGCCCACGCTGTCCTGATGGACCAGAGTCTTGGTTTCGGCAAAGAGTTTCCTCCCAATCCGCTCCAGTTCCAGTTTTCGCGCCTCCACTTGTTTGCGGAAATCGAGAGCCTGTCGCTCCCTGGTTTTCTGTGAGAGATTGGCCTGCTGCTCCTGGCGCTGCAGGATCACCTTGGCCGCATCCCGCATCTCGACCGCCTCGTTGTGCACCTGCTGCAGTCGCTCGATCTCCGCCTTCTGGTCACTCAGAGATGCCTCCAGTTCCCGCAGACTCCGCTCGAATCGCTCTGCATCCGTCATCAAGGACGCCTCGATGGAGCGGTACTTCTTGCGGATGTGCTCCGCCTCCATCCACTGCACGTTGGTGCGGTGGATTTCGTTCTCCAACTGGCAAACGAGCTGAAGGGCCATTTAGGGATTAGTATTTGAACAAAAAAATTTAATCATTAGAAATACTGTTTCTGCATAAGGGAAATAAGTCCGGAAATCCCTTCTTCACTAACATTACGGTCTAGATTTTGGAGTTCTTAATATCCTATTATTTACCGCAAACTACAAATATTCTTAAATCTTTAAGACGCTTTAAATAACAAAACATTGATACTCTTGATTTAAAAAATTACCACTGAAATCAAGTAGAAACTTAGTTCGCATGTATACTGAATTAACTAAAGATCTTGTAATATTTTGAATACAAATAAGCAGTTGTTAAAAAAGAACAAAAACCTTTAAGACTATTAATTATAGTACTTTAATAAAATCCCTGCCATAGTTAGAAGTTTTTCCAAAAACTATTCAAGATGTATCTTTCTCACCTTCCTATTGGCATCCTCCTCGAGTGTTTCGGGGGGTTTTTCCCCGAGGTTCTGGTTCTGAGCCTCCTTGTTGGCCAGCAGTCCGCGATACTTCTCCACCAGTTTACTGAAGTGCTGCTGGCGGGACTTGAAGCGATGCCGCAGCAAATCCATCTGCTTCCGACTCTCGGTAATCTTGAGATCAGTGAGGAAAATGGCATCGTCGGCATTTTTAGCCCCCACAGGATAAGTGGCCTTGCCCACAATTAAGGTGGGAGTGCAGCTCTGCGCCCTCCGGGGTTCTCCAGTTGGTTCCTTGATGACCACTGGTCTCTGGAGCGGATTTCGCAATCGACTCGCCTTCACCGTCAGCTCCTTGATGTCCTTTTTCAACGAGCCAATTGTGTCGCAGTTGATGCGGTTCTGCTTCTGCCACTCGGCTGCATTAGCCGTCTTTTGGCCCTCTGTAAGGATTCCATTTGTTAGTAATGCTGTAATAGTTACAAAGGCTTGGGTTCACACCTGCCAGTAAAATCCGCTTCTTAATCTCATTTATTTGTCGGTTCAATTCGTTCAACTTGTCCGATTCCATGGCTTCATCTGTGCGGTTTACCTTTTCAAAGTGGCTATCACAAAATATGCACTCTGAACTGGTTGTTAAATCGATACCACAGTTGTTGTGGCAACAATTAAGTTAACCATGCGCTCTGTTGGTTGCTAACAACTTAAAATAATATCTATAAACATCAAATAATATTTATAAAAACGAAATAACATATCAATTTAAAAAAAATAATTGTTTTATAATTTTTTTAATAATTAAATGGTTGGCAAAATATTGAATTTCTTGAAATTTATGATCAAGAACCAAAAATTTAAAGTAATTATTTTAAAATAATCAAATTAAATATATAAAATATATTTTTTTATTCAAGTTTCTCCAATTAATCAAATAATCAGAAAACCTTTTTAGAGTTATAAAGCTGTTTGCTTTAATTTATTATACTTGAACCACAATATTTACAAAATATATTTAAAGATGCCACAAAAATTTATCATCAGCTTGTAGTAAGCCCCCAAACATAAAATAAACATCATGGATTTCACTAGGAAATCAACTAAAATGCTGGAGAACAGAAATGGTTGAATTCAGAACACTATTCGAAGCGGGATTGGATCGCACTGTTCCGGACCCTGGCGACGAACTCGGCGGCATGGCTGGGTTCTCGGAAGGAGCAGGCGATCCTCTCCAGGATTCCCTTGCGGCAGGAGGCGTAATTGATGTTGGTCCAGCGGCAGCTGTACGAACTGTTGGACATGTAGTCGATGCGCCACTTTTCGTCCACCCGCATGTAGATGATCAGTTCACCGGTGACCCTGTCATGGAGTATTATGTAGTACATTCCGCGGTGCTCCAAGATCTCGATTTGACCCTCGCCTGAGAAGGATGGGGAACGGTAAGGACTGGCAACGGAACCTGGTACTTTACCTTGCCGTTTCCACTCCTTCAACTTATTGAAACAGAAAAGCCTCACAGGTTGGCTAAACATTGTCCTTCCATTTTTTGTAATGTCCGCCAGATCGGCCATTGTTTTTGTTAATCTAATTTCTTCCAGAGAAAGCTTATTCTGTACTTCCGATTCGTCGCTTTCGGATATCTCACTGAATACAGAATCCTTGCTCACATTCAAGCCATTACATGACAATCCTTCACTAGCATCTAATCTGTATAGTATAGGGAATGGTTCTATGCTCGGACTTCTCACCATGGGTTCTCCACAGGCCATTGAATTGTCTTGAATTTCTTTGTTACTGCTCTCTGCAACCGAAGTCAGTTGAAATATGTTCTGCCTAAACACTCTTGAGAAGTTTAACGAGCTCTTGATCCTTTCAAATCGGTTCAATCTGTTTTTATAGGAATTGTCTAGAAATAAAGCTTCGATTAATACAAGGGAAATAGTTTACTGGTGACTACTTACCATTAAAAGATTCCTCCAACCTTTTGAGCATAGTTACGCTCAAAATGAGTGCCTTAAGCGATCTGGAGGCCTCCTGTTGAATTATCTCCTTGGAGCGTTGTTTCGTCCTCCTCGTTATTCTATCGCCAAACGAAAGTCTGACACTAGGTGACCAAGTTGACTTGTTCCCTATCAAAGAACTAATTACACCAAACTTATAATCTGGCTTGGTTATTTCGACTAATGGAGCAATCAGTTCTTCGATCTGTAAAGCTATTGGAGACAGAAAACCAGCTGATTTTGGTTGTAGTTCGGCGGGAGAAATTTGTTTCTCTTGGGAATTTGGTTGCTGATTTTTTGATTCATTTATTTCTTCGATTCCTGGCAGAGTAGATTCTTCAATTCTAGGTAAATTTATATTTTCAATCCCTGGTAATTTAAATTCTTCTAACTTTGTGGAATTTTGCTCTTCGAATAGATGCAAATTTGTTTCATTGATTCCTGCTAAAATAGGTTCTTTGAAAAGTTCTGTTTCTGGTAGTTTTATTTCCGGTGCAGTTGGCTCCTCATTCTCAGCTAATGTTACTCCTTCTATTTGCTCAACTTCTGAACCGGCACAGGCCATTTCCAATTCCGGAATGAAGTACGGCATTGTGTTATGGCATTCTTTGGAATTATCAGACTCAATTGGTTCTGGACCGCCAAAAAAGGAAAGTTCGCCAAAGCCACAATGAAATGGCTCACTTTGCTTACGCAACTGTTCGATGATATTAAAAGGTGACAAAAGAGTATCAAGCGGTAAGCTTGGCAGGCTGCAATCCACTTCGAAGGACTCATCTCGACTGCTTTCCAATTGTTGAATTAAGTCCGTGGTCGGGAGGTCGGGCAAAGTAGTTTCGCCTTCGGATGACTGAAGGTTCAACCCGGGACACTTGATTTTGACATCCGATTGCAAGCTCTCAACTGCAATTGCCTCAGTTTGCCCAACTGCATTGGATCCATCCACTTGGTTGTGCAACATTGTCTAAGCTGGTAATCTATCGAAAAATTAAATAAAAATAAATAAAAATTGACTGGGATTTTAAACACAAATGACTTACAGCTTATTGAGTGTTGAGTCAATGTGAAGGAAATCCTTTTTTCTTTGTTTTTGTTTGTAAGTTTTATTTCAGAGTTCTGCTGATTTGACATCCAGGTGTAGAAAATATTGTTATTGTTTTATGACTTACACCCTTTTAACCAACAACAAATAAATTTGATTTTAGCTATAAAATGTTTAAGTCATTTTATTCTAAAGGGGATATATAAACTTAAAAGCTTTTTAATGGATTACATTTTTAATTGTGTGAGAAATTACTCAAAAGTCTATTTATTTGTTTTGTTTATAGTAAAGTATAAGCTGCACAACGAAAATAAAGAGAGTAGGTCCGTGTCGTTCGCCTCCAGTGTTTTATGAACTCGTTTCTTACTGTTATCGTATCTTTTCATTAGTATCACTGTCAGGTCAGTCTTCTAGTGCTCTGAGTTGGTCATAACAAGATACAAAGGATTCTGGGAACAACTTCCGTTCATTGTTGTCCGCACTCATGAGGCATTTCGGCCCCAGCGACTAATTACAATTTGCTTTTTGCCCAACGGAGCGTATGCGTAATCATAGAGACGGGAAAAGGAAGTCGGCATGTGGAGCAGTCCGTCTTGGAGTGGGAACCAAATTACATTGACAACAATGTTCCGGTGGCTTTTCAATGGACGAAATGCGAATGGAAACAAAAGCACCTGAAGGCCAAAACAAAACATCGCCCAGTCTCGGGCTTTTTTACTGGGTGAGATGAGGATTCGAAATGTACATAGATGAGAGCCCGCAGCTAAACAAATACGCCAGGGACCAGTCAAAGCAAATAGCGCAGGAAAAATGTTTGAATCTAAAATATGCATAAAATGCGGGAAAACGAATTCAAAGCTTGGCGAAATAAATAAATAGCGAATGCAAACAAAATGGAATATAACAAAAAAAAAAGCGGAAAACAAAAAAGGAGGAAGGAAACTTCCATTCTCAAAGTAAAACAATCAAAATTTGCGCACCATTAAATTTTGTATGGTACTCGTTCCACCAAAGTTTCCCAGCGCTCTCTTGAATTTTCGCCGTTTTCCCATTTTTCCAGCACTATACATACTCGCATGTTTGTCTGTGCTCCAAATTGACTTTCTGCACAATGTTCAAAGCTTGGATTCCCGTGATTCGATTTTTTCTCAGTCAATCGCCAGATTTTCATCTCCTTTTTCGCTATAGCTACTGGCATCCTTGTAAATATTTTGTTGACACTTATCTATTTGCGAAACCGATCAAAGGGCACAGACAGGGAAATGTCAGTTATATTGTAGCACAAATTGGTTTTGATTTATGACTTTGTTTTCGCAAATCCAGCTTTAGTCGTATTGATACAGATCGGAACTCATGGACAAAGCTGATTATATGTGTTTTATGATATGTTTTTTTAAATCTCCCCAGAATCTAATTAAATTTACCATTAATTGTAAACAAATGCAATTGTTTCATATTTTTTATTTGGCTTAGCTGTGCCCATAAATTAGCATTTGTTCAATATTAATTAGTGTGTCTGCAAATACATATATTTGTAAATAATGGGCTATTTTTAGTTGATTTAATATTCAATAACAAAGATACTATACCAAAAACTTATTTAGTGGAGTGGCCATTAATTAGGGTATGATTTGTTTATATTTTTTAATAATTGGCTGTATACAGTGCTGCATATTAATGCTTTAGCTAGTTAAAGCTTTATTTGTTTAATTATGCAGAAACCGTAGAATTAGATGTACTATTTTTATTATGCAACCAATTTGAATAATTTAATTTTACCACCTAATTTATGACTTTTTCTTTTCGGACACATTTATTTAATGGAAATAGAGTGTGCAAAGTATGTGTGACATTAAAACTTAATTTAATATTCCCAAAAGCACTTGTAAGTAGCAACGTAGTCCAACGAGTGTATCTAGTTGAAGTGCCATTAATTTGGGTGGTTAGCCAACCAGAACGTACACTGGCATAAAGGTTACATTATATTGTAATTTCTAAAACCAACTTAAATATTTAGCTCATGGTAACCCAGGCCCTCCAGTTAACTTTCATCTCTCGAGGACGAGAGGCAGCCTGGCCGAGAGGAACGTAGTAACCTAGGTAGCTGGCAAGTGGGACACCTGGCCCAGGTGTGACATTCTGCAGCTCTGCCAGGACATGCTGCCACCCATTAAAACTAATTACTCATAATCATTTCGGCTACTGCTCGACTGCCTCCGGGAGCCCATACCATACCACACCATACTCCATGACTCTTGGCGAGCGACAGTCGCAGCTGCCACATACACATTGAAATTAATTAAAATTAAAACGGGAGTGGATGTGGATATGGAAAATGGAAATGAAGCTCCGCGAACTCAAGTCCTGGCTGATCCCCATGAAAACGACTCAACCGCAGATGATGGGGAAATTAGTGGCAGGCAAAAGAGCAATGGAGAAGCGTCAGAAGTACAAAGTCAAGTGCGCGGCGACCGATGAAAAATCTCTGTGAAATTAATTAAATTCTGTAATTTAAGGCACTCCCCGTTGACATCGCCGCCTCCTACGGCTGCACACAGTGCGTATGTGTGATGCTGATGCTTTTATCATGATTATGTTGTGTCACCCCTCAGGCTCTCCGCACCTGGGTTCGGTGACCTTTCCTTTTCGTCCTGACATTTACCCGTCATGCACGGCAATGCAGGTTATGTCCATGTGCCTCAATCGCACTGTCGAAAATACTACATTCGAAATCGAGAATAAGAATATAATTCTTATTTCTTTAAGTTTGCTTTATATGACATTAAAAATAAAGATAAATCAAAAAGTAAAGCTTAAATTAACTTTAAACCGAATTTTTAGTCTGAGACTTTAACCTGCAAAGATTAATAAACATGTTTAAAATATTTGCCATTTTATATAGATTTTTTGGAGATTAAATGTAAGTTGCTAGTACTAGCAAAAAACTCATTTAACCTTTCCATGAGTTTCTCCGTAAAGAATAGCAATAATTTTTTAAGTCTGTGAAATGCGTTTCTTCTCAAAGATTACAATGTTTAATTACTTTTATAAGCCATAAGAACTATTACTACGCAAGTAGTGAAACCCATTTCAAAACTTTTATAAAATTTTGTTCAATGCATTTGTTTGCTTTTAGACTTGGCTTGCACGTATTTGTGTGTGTGTGTGTGTGCAGGTCCTGCAGGCATCACATTTCTCCTGCCGCCGTCCACCAGATGGCGCCACCTCTGCTGCGCTGTCAAGCGCAGCGCAGCGCAAAATTATTCTAATTAGAGTACCCCACCCCCCGCTGTTCCGCGATATCCTTTACAGCGCCTTTGAAATGTTATTCAGTTAGATAGCTAGTGGGACAGAGAGGTCTGTGTGTGTTTCTAATTTGTCTGTTATTTTTCTGGCTTTAGGCACTTTAGTTTACCAGCAGTTACACTCCTTTCAACGAGCTAATGTGTGTGTGTGTGGGGATGAAAGCTTCGTTTGAAGTGAATTTACCTTTCTAATTTTAAATGGAGCTTAAATATTTCAACTCCAATAAAAACTATAAACGTTGGAATATAAATTTATTTTTTATAGATAACTTGCAAGGTATTAATATTTTGAATCCTATTTGTGCAAATCGAATTAGGATCTTAAAATACATAAAGTAAAAACAAAGGTTATCAAAAACCAGCTTCTTTTCTATTTGTCATATTACTTTAAATACCATAAGTACATGTTTATGTATCTTAAGTATAATTAACTATAAATTACATACATGTTAATAAAAACCATTATTTTTTAAGAGAACTCTTGGCCACTTCTGCCACCTGAAAAGCGAAATTGCAACCCACTAATTCGTCAGTTGGACAGCCCCTGAATCTGTGACAAAATGAAATTTTTAAACGTGATGGCAAGCAGAATTTATGTAGTAATCTCACGGCACGGAGACATCGCCCAGGACTTATGTGCATGATTTATCTTGAGCCGCATAACAAAAGAGGAGGGAGTGGAAGTGGGCGCACTCCCTGTGCGTGACGCAGTTCCTCCGTTTCCCCGTTCATGAATCACCCGCCGAGTGGCAACATGTGCTTAATAGTTTAACGCTTCGTGTGCCACTTAGCTGGGCGTGAATGCCTATCCTGGCAAGGAGTCACCATCTATCCAGGAGTTGTCTCCTCCTCCTGCTCCTCCTCCACCTTCTCCTGCTGATAATAATGGTAAAGTACTGCAGAAGGTGGTGATGAGGAGATGAGGAGATGACGCGGGTGGCGATGGAGGTGATGATGCAGTCTTTCTGCGGGAGTGCCCCATCCCCTGCAGCACTCATTTTTCGTTTCTGGCGTTAGTGGATCCTTCTCTGTTACAAATCCGCGACGTTGTTTTCTGCATGCCTGCCATCCTGCCCGCTTCTGCGACCCAAGCCAATTTCATCTCGTTCCGCGTCATGAACGGACGGACAGACAGACGGCCAGGGTCCTGGTTTCCATGTCCTCCCAACCTGACATCGCGTGTCGCATGATGTATGACATTTTTGCGCCTCATAAACAGCTGTGTTCTACCCTCCGATAATAAGGTACCTGCACTAAGAGAAACCATCTGTGCATACAGTCTACCACTGAAATAGTTACTCCAGAATATCATTTTATTTTTTTATATTTCACATATTTATAGATTTGATTTTTGGAACGATACAGAAAACATAAATTGCTACGAATAACATACAACAATTTAAGAGTTTTCCAAAATAAAAACCATCTATAAATCATAAATTTCGAAATTTAACCGTCCAACTAGTTAAAAGTTCTAATAAGTTTCAACTAAGACGCAGTGGGAACCTTATTTCCTTTCCACAGCTTTTTGTTGATTAAATAACTTTAGTCTGATTTCTTAATATCATGTAAAGGAACTAGCTTGTAATCTGTCAAAAAAAAAGTTATCATAATTTCAAAGAAGTAATACAAATCGGTAAGAAATTGGGAATGCGTAAAATGAAAAAGAAAATAAGGCTAAGTTGAATGTCACTTTCGCTTTTTTGAAAATATTAACATTATTAACATTGCTCCTAATTAGGAGTTTTCAGTCCGAAAAGCTAATCGTCAAAACTTAACATGACATTGAGTAATTGGTCCTAATTTCTCAAAAAGTAAATATTGGTGATATATTTTTCGAAGTGCACCTGTACCACGAACCAGAACACCTGTCATCCTCTGCCTGCCCCTTACCTTGTTGCTCTTTTGTTTTTGTGCATCGTATCGTCCAGACAGCCTGTGCAAAATGGTGGGGGGGGTTCTATTTGCTTTGGGTGTGTGTGTGTCCAGGGGAGGGGGTGGTGCTGTGTTGTTTGTTTTCGTTTGCTTTAACGAAATTGGCACGACTGGCGGGTGGCGAGGCCGCCGTGTTGACTGTTTGGCTATTTGCTCGTTTACGTTAACGGTGAGCTGACTTATTTTCCTCGGCGGTGCAATTCAAATATGCCGGGAGTTCCTTTACCCACAACCGGTTGATTGCACCAGTCAGACCAATTGACCCCTGTGATTCACTCTGCTCGTCTGAAATTCCGTTTGCATTCCTGTTAGAAACAATTATTTAACAAGATTAAAAAACTTATTTTGAGGGAGAAACTTTCAGCCACAGAAGATTTCTGTATATTTCAACTTTTGGTTAATTTATATCTATTAAACCATAATTATTATATATCAATCTGAGCCAATGTGCGTCAGTATTTAATTCGTATTTGGCTTTAATACTATTTCCGGTTTTCATATGTTTTTATAAAGGATTCCCACAAAAATGCTGATGTTTTTCATGTTGGATCGCAAATGTGTCTGCCAAAAGAAAAATAAAAGATTTACATTTATATATGAGATTTATGGCGTCCAAATGAAAAATATTGATTAATTGGCTATAATGCTTTATTTTACTCACAATGGAAGCTGTGTCCGAGGAAAAACACAGGCCGACAGAATTTGGCGTTGGAAAGAATTAATTAATCCTTTGAAAGTCTTCCTGAAAAGGAAAAAAATTCTGTTACCACATTTTGTTATGTTTAATTTTGCTAATTTGTAATGCCATTAAAGCATTATTAAGATAACATTCAATCTATTTTTGTACAATTATATTTTTGCATTTTTATAAAAATTTGAATGCTAACTGTCACCAGCTATTAAATAATTATTATATTTAACAGTCAAAGAAATATAAGATTTCTAAGTTAAAAAAATGTCTGGAAAATCGGAAAATTGAATTCAGAATTCAGAATCTACAAATTTGGAAAATTTTTTGTGGTTACATTTAATGGGCGTCTTCCGTTCTGAGTGTAGTGTAAACAACCAAAGTTTCCCATCCACTAATTGAATAAGTTAGTTTTCCGAAACGGAACATGCGGTTATAGTTGGCTTCCTTTCGCTCGGTGAAGCGTATTCCCCGTTGCACGGATTTCGGGACAGAAAGCTGACTAAACTTTTTGACTTCCATTTTTGTGCAAACACGCTCATCATCATTTAGACCTGGCCGTGCTGAAATGCCATTAAAATCACATTCCGATTTAATTTGCATAAATTGAAGTCGAGGCAGCCAGTGGAAAATGAAGCCGAACGGCAGTCTAAACATGAACTAAAACGCCATTCAATATCGATTCGAAATCAATTAGAGAGTGATTTGCAATATATATTACGCGAAATGCTTAGCCACAGTCGAGTAAATCAACCAGATCGCCGGACTTTAGCCCAAATTTTCGTCCCAAACCGACTCCCTTCATTGAATTTAACGGGTCCAAGGACACGAGGGGTGGATTATGACACTTTTTGCGGCTCGCTGCTCGCATATTCGGCTTTTGCTTTTATTGAGCGAAATGAAAAATTCAATTAAAATGCACACATGCTCCTTCAAGCCCCAAAACTCGACGGGCCAACCCTAAAACCCGGCAACATCCGTGCCAGCGAAAAAAATTGAGAGCGGAACGAACAAGGCTGGCTGGCAGCAAAAACGAAAGGAAACGAAAATGTGAAAAATCAGCATAACAAAGTGGGAAAAACTATGGAAATGCATTCGCCCGGCATGGCCGCTTTCCCTTTTCTTTACTCCTTTTTTCGGACAGTTTTCCGCCACGCTCCACGAACCTGGCCACCATCCAGCCAGACGTACTCATGTGCCCATGGACCTCGGGACAGGCGACACAATATAATATCTCCATATCTCTCCGGTGCTCCAAAGGGTAGTGTCGGTATGTAAATTGCCGTAAACACATTTCATTTGAACAAAGAATTAGACCTAGAGGGCTTTTGTGACGCAGATTCTGCGCTGGGACTAACCGAATCAGCATTTATTGTTGTCGACCTTTTTAAGGTAACAAATTTGGCGACTGTTTTTTTTGGGTCTAAGATTGGACGGTATAAAAGTACAGTTGAAAAATTTACTAAACAAATAAACACCTTTTCTTGAAAAGCAATTTACATTTGTATTGGGCATGTGCTAGATATATCAAGATGTTAATAAATGGTTACCTTTAAAAAGGTTTATAATAGTCCAATTCGGGGAAAAAACATAAGTATTACGTCTGATAAAGCTTTGAAAAATATAAAGGTTGTACATAGTAGTTTTGAAAAGAAATAATGTTAGACCAAAACCATATATTGAAAAATAGATTTATTAAAACATTAAATATAGCTAATTATAATTATTATTTACAAAAATGGAAAGATATATTTATTGTATTTTTGATAAATCTTGAATAAAATAAAATTGGTACTTCTGGCTTTAAAAATAATAATGGTAGGCTAAAACCATATGAGTTTTTTGGAATGTTTAATAAAAAACTATATAATATTTGTAAGCTTTATTATAATAACTGAAGCTTAATTAATGTAATGTATTATTTAAAAACTAAAAGATGCTTAAGACACAGTTAATTATTTTCATAGAGGCTTTTGGCATATTTAAACATTTTATTTATGTTATTTGTATGGCTTATCGGTTTCACTTTTTCAATATTATTTCTGTGCATAAGTACACATATTTTCATTATGTCGAACGCTCTCATTGTGAATTTTGTGTCTCATATTTACCTTTACTATTTTTGAATCCGCGGCTTCGGATCTGAAATTTTATGGAATTCGTTTATTTAACGCCTGCAAACAATGCAGCGCGTGCAGCGAAATGGAGGACAACAGTAAATACATCTGAAAATCGTGGGGCTAATGAAACAAATGCCGATACCCTGACCTCAGATTCTGTCAGAATCATTTGATATTGGGGGAGGGGGGTGTCTGCTTCCCAGGCTTGGGCAAACAAACTGCAAAGCCGAATTTACGGTTGCCGCTTTTGAATTGACAACCGGAACCGGGAACTGAAAACCGGGACAGGGGCGTCGGTTTTATGGCGGATTTCGACGAAATATAAAAATAAAATTGGATTTTAGCGTAGATTGTAGAAGGCCGTAAATATTTTTCAATTCACTGGCCCCGACGGAGGAGTGAGGAAGGGGGGTCTTCACGCGCACATATGATTTCCCCAAGGGGGCGCAAAGTGGGGTTGTGGGTCTGGTCTGCGGTTGGGAATCGCGTGCGAATGATTTGGCAGCATTAACTCCCCGACACCCGGCTGCCAACAAATTCCCCGCCGGGGCGTGAAGCCCCCAAAACACATCCCCTGGAAGCCGGAGGATGCGGATGGGCAGGAGGAACATGTGAGAGGTGGGGATTATCGAGCGGGGGAGACGGCCTCATTTGAATGCCGAGCGAAGCGATTTCATTTTTTTTTCGGTGCGTGTGGGGATGGCAAACCCTTTTTGATCCTTTCAACGGCGGATGGAGTCCTTCCCCCGAAGGCGTTAGATATAAGTTAGAGGCTGGTAAGGCTACCTCAACAAATCCTCCGAAAACTCATTTCGTGCTGCTGGCGCCAAATTGATTTCATTGCCTGTTTTTGCTTTGTTTTGGAGCTAAATGCCAAACTCCCTCTATCCTTTCGGAATCCTTTCGTTAAAATGAAACATTTTCTGGCTGCGGTTTTGCCTTATCTTAAACAAATAAATATCCGCATTCCTGCGGCAATTTAATTAAAATTTTACCTTTGAAAAAAAATAAAACATGACTTGTCCAAAATTCCTTTTAATAAAAAATAAGTTATCAAACATAAAATTGGTGTCATAAACTCAGAAACATTTCTACAGTCACGTTTTCTTTTATTTTGCTATTTGACCTAAATTTGCAGTTAGAAAACTTTAAAATTTCGTTATGCTGATGTATAAAAATTGTTTAATTTGTGCCAAGAAAGAACATTCCAAATTTTTGACCGCAAATCAGAAATATTTATATTTGTTCCCATCAATTAAGGAGTAGTGTAATTAAAAAATAGGACCTTTTTTTATTTTGATCGTTCCTTAATAGAGAGCTTAACATTATTTGGGTTTTCCTTACCTTGTATAAGATGAAAAATAGCTTTATTATCATTCTTGTTGCCAAATATTTTCTTTACTGTAAAAAAGACTTATATTGTAGAGTGTGTTTATTTTTAGTTTCTTAAATCGATAAACGCATTAAGCAACATGTTCTGTTTATTAGAACTTAAAATGGAGAAAAAGTTAATTTAGAAAAGAAATTAAAGCCCTGCATGGGTACACAAAATGGGTAACAATATGAAATTCCAGGTCAAGTAAGTAAGCTTAACATGATCCAAATATTTTTAGACGTTTTATCATTGTTTAAAATACTACACGAATATTGGGGCGTTTAAGTTAAGTCAATTGGGGTTCAAGAAAGTAAGTTGCGTTTCAGTTTTATAAGAAAATCAGGTTACTTGTACATTTGATTAGTAGCATTTATTCTTTCTCTAAAAGATTATATTAGTAATCAATACAGACTCAAAACATTATCAGCCTTAGTCGAATCTTTTCTAGCTTTGAGTAACTTTTGAACGGGGATGGTTTTCTAAAGAGGATGTCATGGGATGTGTGTCATTACGATTTATTGAGTCACATCGGCGGTCTGACGATCTCTCGCAGCTGGGGATCGATCCTAGATGGCCGGACGAGTGGGGTGGCAGCGGATGAAGCAGGTCCTCAACCGGTTTCACCAGGCGGCCTTCAGCCCGAAGTACCTGCTGTACACCAACATCGGCATTTCCGTGGGCCTCAGCATGGTGGGCGACACCATGGAGCAGACCTACGAACGGCTGATCGGGGAACTTTCGGGATGGAACCGGATTCGCACTCTCCGGATGGGCATCTCCGGGCTGACGGTGGGTCTGGTGTGTCACTACTGGTACCAGTACCTGGACTACTTGTTTCCCAAGCGCAACTTCAAGGTGGTGATCGTGAAGATCCTGCTGGACCAGTTCATCTGCTCGCCCTTCTACATCGCCGTGTTCTTCATTACCATGGCCATTCTGGAGGAAAATTCGTGGGAGGAGCTGCAGCAGGAGATTAGGGACAAGGCTCTGACCCTGTACCTGGCTGAGTGGACGGTGTGGCCATTGGCGCAGTTCATCAACTTCCTGCTAATCAAGCCACAGTACAGGGTATTCTACGACAACACCATTAGTTTGGGATACGACGTCTACACGTCACAAGTGAAATACCGCAAGAAGGAGCCCAAGAACGATTAATATTTCCAACTCAATATTATTAAATTTTCGTCAACTATTTTTAGGTAAGCCGCTCCCTGTAAAATTAAAAATGGTGCAATAGAATGAACATAACCAATACTTAGTATATTATAACTTACTTATTATGGTTTACTACAAGTTTTCTGAATTTTTGTGATTGTGAAGAAAATTCACATGTGTATTATTTGGCGTCTTACCAATAATAAAGCGATTGAAAACATTTAGAATTAATATGAAGCAGCCCTTTTTTGCAACAAATTTGCAAGCACGTATGTTCAGAAGCATAAAAACCAAAACTTAAAAATGGAATTAAGTTTTTAACTTCTTTAGTTTTTTTATGGATGGTAAATATCATTAGAAAATAAATATATAAGTTGTGTTTTTTGAGGGGAGATAGAAAATACTTGAACTTTCAGTGCCTTTTATTTAACAACTTTCTTGATCACCAATTATCGAATTGGTTTAGCCTCAGGATTTGTAATAAATCATTGCTATGGTCTAAGGTTTTCTTAAAGTGACACATTCATTTATTGGAAGTCGTCGCCCGCTGAACCTGACGTCATGTCTCCGTGTCAAACGGGTCTCCCTCCTTTGCCGACGATGGACGATGATGGAAGGTGACCTCCGCCCGAATCGAGAAAGGCTGCTTACTTGTCCCCTTTGCCGGGGACTGCGAAAGAGCAGGTTCGGGGCGAGTGAATGGCATCGAGAACCGGGGAGACACTCGAGCCGTAAGCCCTCGACGAGGAATTGTGTCAAGCATACAAAATAAATAAAAGCACAGGCCCGGCATGAAAAAATGCAAAAAGAAAGGGAAATCAAGTGACAAAATTGATGTCAAGATGAGCGAGTGGCGACCGTGCCAGGAGATCCACATCCAGGGGCGAAAAGCAGGCTTCACGGCCAGCGCCAGTTGACACCACCAAGGATAGACATCCACTCACACACATGTCAACTAATCCAATTTAAATCTCTTAACATGATTTGCCGCTTTCTTTTCATTTTGTTGGATTTTATGCCATTATCCCTTTCGGTCTCCGTGTGTCCTTTTGGCGACCGAATTGCCGAGCACTAAGAGAAGTCATTTTTCCTTTTCACAGTGGATGATATAAAGGTTTTAGCTGTCAATTACTTACTAAATTCACAAAAGCTATGGCGAAAATTCATTTAACCTAAAAAAGTCTAGCACTTATAATTCCCTTTAAAACCAGTTGTCTTTAAAATTATTAATAATAATAATAATAAATAAATTTAAAAAAATTAAAATGTAAATGTCTTTTAATTGCTTTTCCCTCTCTGAAATTGTGTATTTATTACATCAAGAGAAATTGAAATGTAAGGAGCGACGTTTGAGAAATTACATAAATAAACACCTCAGCATGACCTTTAATTGCTTTTTCTTCTCAGAAATTGTGTATTTATTAGCCACTAAATCAGGCACTTTCTCCACTGTACATTCCTTTCCCTTCCGTTGGCCCACTGGCAAGTTGACTTCCTGTCCTTACTGTTATCTCTCCCAAGGAGAACGCGCCTTCAAGGAGCAAGGACACCAAGGACTGCGGCCAAAGGGTTTATTTATTTGGTTTAGCGGCTGCCTCGGTTGCCTTAGTCGCTCTATCCTCATTTTGTGATTTAATTTAAAAGCTCAGTTCCAGTCCCACCCGGCGGAAGGCGGAATCCTTTTCTGGAGGAGTGGGCGGAACTGGGGGCTTTTCGGCACGTGGCCAGCCGACTCTGCTGGGGTCCTTGATGAGTTGTGTGTGGTTAAAGTATACCAAATCAGACTACGTGTTGATGAACAAGTTTGCCAAGTCACCGCCAACGGCTAACCAAAGTCGAAAAGCAAAAACAGGAGTGCTAAATAAAGCTGTTGGCTGATATTTCTATTATTTATTATATTTAATATCTTAATTATTTGGCCATAATTACATAAGAAATAAGTGGCATGTGAAAACAATACAAAATTTGAATAAATATAACAAAATATATATATAATTTAGTAGCTAATAGTTTTTTGAATAAGCTTAATTTGAATTATCAAATTATTTGGATATTTAATAGTTTTGATTATTAAATAAATATAATAAAAATAAATATAATTTAGTAGTTAATAGTTTTTTGCATAAGCTTAAAATTATCAAATTACTTGGATATATAATAGTTTTGATTATTAAATTCAGAAAAAGTCATGGTTGCATGACAAAATTCTTATTCAATCTGATTATACGCATGTTGCTTTAATGACACGATGAAAATGTTCACACTTTCAGTCAGCAACTAGATTAACACCCATTAGCAGTATGTATAGTATTCCGGCTCTGATCGATATCCACCATATATGTGCCGGTTCCTGTGCAATCCGGGGTCGAGTACTCTCATCTAGCCAGCCATCCGTCCGGTTCAGGTGGAGCAGCCACGTTCAGTTAATTGGCACTCAGAGCCTTCAAACAGAAATGCCAATGATGTTTGTCTACGAAATTACCCCGTCGGGAGGGTTCAGAGGGTGCTCAGTTATGTTACGCAGCACCTACAAGGTCTGTATGTTGTGAGGCTTCCTGTACAATCCACCCGGACTCCGGAGTCTGTCTACGGGGTTCCGACTGACCCACCCGACCATAACCTATGCCCCAGTAATGGCATTGTGTGTGAATACAGAGAGCCAAATAGTGTATGCATTTCCAAAAATTCAAATTTTAAATGTATTTTTTCTATTGCTTATTATCTAAAATATCTATTAAAGCAATATATTTGGGCTATTAATGGGATCTGTAAAGAGATAATATTAAAATATTAATCTTATAAAATAAAGAGAATAAATATATTAATAGCTACATAACTATCTAACAAACATTTTTAATAACTTAAAGTTTAAATGTTCAAACAAGAGCTCACATATTTTATCCTTCAGCTTGAGGTTTGTTATTTCCCTCAGTGTAATTCCGCTGCTTGTAAACGAAATGAGAACAAGGATGAAAATAAAAGGGAGTGGCCAGCAGTTATAATTCCATTTGCGATCGTAAAAATGTATTACGATGGTAAGCTGCTCATAACAGGCTACTTAATTAACGAGGCATTCAGGAGCAGGTCGAGTGCTAGAAGCGCTTCTTGTTTCGCCAAGTGTACGAGTATATGGTGGAAAAATTGGTGCATACAGAACGCAAGTCGCTTTTCAAACACAAATGACATAACTGCCTTCAAAGCACGTGGCATATGTTGCTTATGGCGGGGATTCCCATCTTTCTTGCCCTGAGTAAAAGTTGCGTCAACTTAATTAGCCATAAATTAGCCAGGATTCACGCGTTTTTAACGACTTGTTTGTTCGCAAGGCAAGACGAGGGAATGATGGCCCTGTCCCCTCATGATGGCACTAAGTCCATCTGTCAGCCAAGTTGAACGAGTTAATTTATTTATCTTGCCGCAGCAGCATCGCCAGACCCCTGTCCTTAATGCCAGTTGATTTATCTAGCAGAGTTGCTCAAAACTTTCAGCGCAGAAAGGGCATTTCGTGGCTCTGTCGAAGTCTTATTGCGGACAGCATTGATAAATATGGGTGTAAACAAGCTGCTGCTGCTGCTGCTGCTGCGCTCAAGCAAAGATAAGCCAGGGATCAGGGCATTAACTCGCTACAGTAAATGGATAATAAATGCAGTCATTACTCGGCGACTTGGAAATCTTTAAATAGTTGAAAATGAGCAAGTTGGTTCGAGAAGGGGAGAGGGGAAATAACAGCTTAAGGCTATAAGTCACATTTATTTCTTCATAATATGACATATTTTTATGAAAATAAGTTGGTAGGTACTTATACCCGTTTGTCTGTATGAGCTATGTATGCTAGAGAGTCTACAATAAACATGCCAGTCCTAGAAATATATAACACTCATCATTTGTTGATACATTAACGTCAACATCGATCAACATATAAAGTAGTTTTTAAATAGAACATTTATTTTAAAAGTTATTAAGAAATTAAGTATACGTATTTTTATACCCTTGCAGAGGGTATTATAATTTTGGTCAAAAGTGTGCAACGCAGTGAAGGAGATATCTCCGACCCTATAAAGTATATATATTCTTGATCAGGATCACCTCCTGAGTTGATATAAGCATGTCCGTCTGTCCGTCTGTCCGTCTGTCCGTCCGTCCGTCTGTCCGTCTGTCCGTCTGTCCGTCTGTCTGTCCGTCTGTCTGTTTCTAGCGAACAGTCTCTCAGTTTTAAAGATATCGAATTGAAACTTTGCACACACCCTTCTTTCCTTTGCACGCAGTATATAAGTCGGAACGGCCGGGATCGGCCGACTATATCCTATAGCTGCCATATAACTGATTGATCGGAAATGCCATTACTTTGGTGTTTGTAAAGTTAGGAAGTTGGGATTTACTATGGGTTTTATATGGCCAAACAATCCGACATACCAAATTTCATAAGGATCGGCCGACTATATCCTATAGCTGCCATATAACTGATTGATCGGAAATGCCATAACTTTGGTGTTTGTTAAACTAGGGAGTTGGGATTCTCTATTGGTTTAATTTTTGGCCAATCAATCCGACCTACCAAATTTCATAAGGATCGGCCGACTATATCCTACAGCTGCCATATAACTGAACGATAGGAAATTTCATAACTATAGTGTTTTTAAAATTAGGAAGTTGGGATTTTTTATGACTATTAAGAATGCATCATATGAATAATTTTGGAGAATATAATTTACAGAATATTCTGCAAGGGTATATCAACTTCGGCTCCGCCCGAAGTTAGCTTTCCTTTCTTGTTTTTTGTATGTTTCGCCAAGAGAAATGCCTTTAAATTAACTGAATATTTGGGTCTTTTTCCGGCATAACTTAACCAAAAAAGTCTTTTTAGACTACTTTTTATCACAACTATTAATCCGCATCATTTACTCATAAAGCATTTATTACCCATAAAATACATTTTTCTTTAAAAATGAGTCCTTAAAAGGTCCCATTCTAAATTTGTTTCCAATTAAAATCCGATTACTGGTAATTCCCCCAGTGACAAAACTTATACCAACTGTGAAGGGAGCCATGTGCATATGTGCAAATCCCTTTGACCCGTTTCCGTTCCGTTTGGCATCGGTCAACAGGCTTCCTGGAGGGCCATGATATTTCACAGCTGTTTGGGTAGTAAATCAACCGCATAATGGAGCCATTCAAAGGCTATCCGCCAACCAGCTGGGCACTTTTGGGCCTCCGCTGGTGCGGACTAGTCGATGATTAAAAACTCTTAATTGTTCGGATCTGGAAAATTGAATGAACATTAAAGTGCCCATCCAGAAGGGATCATGAATCATGGTCGGGCAACTTCATGCGAGCTTTTCAATCCGGTTCGCATATTTAAGCGTAATACCTTCAATCCCCGGCAAACTTTTATGCCTGCTGGGGCAACGGAATCGCACTAAAATCGGCAACAGCGGCGCAAACAACAATCACAGAACCGAAAGCACGGCAGCAACATCGCCGGCACAGCAGCAACATCAACGGCACAACAGCAGCAGCAACAACAGCCACCACAGCAACAATCGAAATGAGGGCAACAAATTTTAACGAGCGCCACAAAACCCCAACGCTCTGCTTTTTTAAGCCGCTTTCATTTACCCGGCTAAACCCCCCTCCCCCTCCTCCCCCTTGTCCCACCCTCTCACCCGCAGTTGTGTAATTACAAAAAAGCCGCGGGCTAAAGTTGGGAGCAGAACTTGACAAATGGCACGACGGTGGAGCGGTGGGGTGCTGAGAACGGGCCGGTTAACCGGGATAATAGGATGAAACAAATGTAAATGAAGGGGGAGGCCAGTTGCACTGGGAAGTGTGCTGAAAAAAAAAGACAAGCAAAAAATAATAAAAGAACACAACAAAGCACAACAAATCGCAACACAAAAACGTTGACTCAAAAATCTGTTAAAGACATCTCCAACTGTGTTTTTTCCTTTTTTACTCTGTGTCCCAAATGGAACATCGCCGCAGGTACCGAGTACGGAAAAAAAAAATCAGAAATCGCGACGCGTGGCTGTGGCTACGGATTTAATGGAGGTTTGGGCACTACCGAACATAGTGAAAAGTTGGGCTTGTCTAGATTTCCATGTGCGATACCGCAGACAATGACAAATATTTTAAGCTCTATCTTGATGCTGTCTGAAATCACTTATTTGGTGTACAAATTTACGGGCTCTGGTCGTCCAAAGTGTCAAGATACATATGGTTTTTGGCACAAACGAATTTTGCCATTTTGTTTGTTTTACATTTGTCCGGCAACCGACACAAAGCTTCGTTATCAATAGAGTTTTGTTAGTTTTTTTCTAGGCTACCCAATTAGTTTTATTCGCAGCAGCCATGGGAATTATTCGACAATATTGCAAACAATTATTTTATATTTGGTCAATTTTAAATTGAAGATTAGAAACACAGCACTTAATACCGGAGTGATACAATTGATATTTCATATTCTGAACTGCCGATAAAATAAATAACAACTTATGTTTATAAAGTTGCCCCGAAACAGTAAACTAATAAACAATAAGTACACAAATGTTGAATAAAACGATTGTTATAATTCAAATATTTTTCTATATCATAATAACGTTCATACGTTTCAAATAATAAGAAGGCAGTAACCTTATCGACCTATTTAAATCTGTGGAGTACGATTACAAAAATAAATAATATATCCGGTTCAGGGAAGCCATAAAAATATACAACTGTAATAAAGCAACACATCCTTTCATAGGCTCACGTTGCGGATGAGTGATTTTTCAAGTATGAACCTATGAAAGGCTAACAAATATTACTCATCCGCAGTGGGGCCCAACCAAACCCTTTTAAATCTCCGTTGCAGTTCAGTGAATTTTTGAAAAATACCCCTGCAGTTTTTTCATCAATGTCAATAGCATGTCCATTTCGCTCAGTGCGCGGCAGAAAGTAATATTCGGATTCCCAAATGAGTTTGAAAAAGCCCTGGGATTGTGTAAGCTCAGCGCAGTCAATATTTTGCTGGCCATATCAGAAAGTCATTTGCAGGCTACCTCACTGCAATCAGCGGCCATTCAGCCGGGTCATTCCCTCGGAACCGGGTGGCGGCAACCACTCATCGTCCACATAAATAGTTGTAGGTGGTGGCCCAGCGTGGACTTCTAGCCCAACAGTTGGTTGCACATCTGCGCATTGCAGCAGGACCAAAAGGACGGGCTGCCGCACCGCAATGCCCGATCTCCTGGGACTCCGCCGCCGCACTTCTCGGCAGGCGGCAATTAAAATCTTGTATTCGAGTTGCGGGAGCAGCTGGGAAGTGCTTTAATTTCCCACGACGTACGAAAATCAACATGGCTTCAAAACAGACGTTGGGAGCAATCAACTCCACCAACCCCTGCGCTAAGCCTGCACTGAGAGAAAATAGCAACATTGAAATGAGTATTTGAACGGTGTTAATTGGTCGCTTGCATACCTTTATTTTTATGTATATCATATAATTTATTAATATTTTTGTGACTGTTTTTCTGTTTTTAATGATATAATAAAATATACTTATAATGAAAGAACAAAATAGCACATTGAAATTTAAGAAATATGCCTGAATTTATATACTTTGAATAAATTCAAGGTATTTTGTAAAATAAATTTTAGGATGTTCCTCTTTGAACTCTCAAAAGCATTAAAGCTATGGAACATTCGTCAAAGATTTAAAAAAATAATTATTAATATATTTGCTTTAAATTTCATTAAAATTAAATCAAACCTTTTTAGATCGCTGGATGTTTTAAATTTGCAAATTTAAAATGTTAATATTATTTGAAAAAGGTCAAAGTCATTATCGTCTTTTAAGACCTGGAATATGACATTGATAGTGTTAGTTTCTTCTGTGTGTACGAAACGGAATCAAAACAAAACGCGTTAAGTGGGGGTAAAAAGGGGGGGCGTCTCCGGCGAAGAGCCGAGCCTGGCCAGCAGACTCCGGGCGGCGCAGGCGCCATGTCTGCACAGACTCCGGCGAATTGGCGGCTCGAAAATCTCCAGAGATTGGCAGACAGTTACTCAGTTGCTGCAGGACTGTCGCGGAATAAAGTTTGCCGAAAGGACGAAAGCGCATGGCTCTGTTATTCGGACGCGATGTGAGCAAAACCTAGGGAACGCGCGCGAAAACTTCCCACCCACTCCACTCCACCCCCGAAAATAAATGTATTGGTAGTGTGTACAGGTGGAAAACGCAGAAAGCCCAGAGTGGCGCATACGAATTGAATAACTGTAATTGCGACAGTGAAGTGAAGGCGTAGGTTGTGAGGCAGTGAATTAACCACGCCCTAAAAAACGCCAAAATGGAGCACCTGCGTCCGCTGAGCTACGAGGAGATGTGCCAAATGGAGATGCTGCAGGCTGCCGGTGGACCATCGGCCTCCTCTGGCCCACAGGCCATGATGCCCATCATGGTGATACCCACGGCTCTGCTGCCGGCTCCCGCAGAGGGGGCGGTGGGCGGGGGCGTTCCGGGTGCGGCGATGGTGGAGCACTTCTATCAGCTGCAGCCCACGCACCACCTCCTGCCAGCCGACCCAGCAACAACAACCACATTGGCGAGTCCCGGCGAATTGGCGCTCCTGCAAGGCGAACAGATTCCACACAGCATCCAGCATCCACAGCAAATGAATATCCTGTGCACCGGGACGCTGGGACGCCAAAGGATGCCGGCTTCTGCCGGCGGTCCAAATCAAATCCAAATATCAATCCCAATCCCTCGATGGCGGCCACTTTGCCGCGTGGTTTCCAGCCTGCCGCCTTTGTTACGGACGTCGAGTCGGACTTTGAGGGCAGTGAGTGCGGAGCGGGCGGGATGACCACCACCTGCATGCCGCACTTCCGCTTCGGAGCCTGCGGCCTTCAGTCCCTGCACCACCCACAGCAGCAGCAGCAGCAGCAACAACAACAGCAGGATGCAGTGGTGGGCTGCGGTTCGCTGGCCTACATGATGAGTTCCGGCACCTTGGGCAGGGGGCGGCGACTGGCCGGCGGGCAGGGCAAGCCGAAGAGGGTGTCCTTCAAGGGCGACAACCTGCCGCCTCCGTCGCCACCGCCACCACCCGCCGTCGAGCTGGACGAGAATGGGTTGCCCGTTCCGGGGCCAGGAGACGCAGGAAGCTGCTCCTACATGCACTTCGACAACTACATGGACTACCAGGTGGGTGGATTACACGGGGGAATAAGTAAATGGTGACAAAAAGTCTGGGAGAACGTTAGATTTGAGTGGCTCGACTATGAGATACCCTCTGCTTTCTTTTAATCTGACATTCTTTGTTAAAGGTTTTCAATGATTTTACCATTTTACTGTGGTAATATTCTTAAAAAGTATTTACAATGTCAACACAAACTAAAACAAGAATAGACCAGGTCTGACTAAAAAATGCCCAATGAAGTATTCCAATATTGAAATAATTCTGCAATATATTTATTTAATAATATTAATATATAGAAAAATTTAACATCATTCGGGTGGTTGCCTTTTATTGAACAACTTTCACGTTTATAAGGAGTTCGGAACGTTTAACAAGCCGACATAAATGTTTAAAGAGCTAAGTTTAATCGTATATTTTTAAAAATACTAGTCATATGAGCAAACTAAAGTGTAGGAATCCTGCAATTCAAAGGTGGGCGGAACTGTGATAACGATAAGAACGTTGCCGCTCCTGTAATTGGCATTCATGGCGTTTATCCCAAAGAACTGGGATGAGGAGAGGGAACCATTTACGATTATTGCCGGGTCTTTGTGTTCGTGCCGCGATTTCACTGACGACACCGCCTGTCACAAAAGGAAACACTGAGAAAAGCCTGATTTTAAAATCAATAGGCTCTGTTTAAAACTTTTTACAAGAATGTTTAAAAGTCAAATGATTTAAAATAGTATTCATTTTTTAATAAAGCCCCTACAAACTAATATAATTAAGTAGAAAATTTATAAATATTTTATAGAAAATTAATTTAAAAATACCTTTGAGTGTATTTCGAAATTCGAACAATTACATTTCGTTTTGGAAGAAAAGCCTTAAAATTTAATGTAAGAGTCCTAAGCATGTATTTTCCCCAGTGAAAGGACTGCCTTAACAGAATCGAACGACCTGGCCTTGAATGGAAGATGTGCCGGTTTTATTTCAGCCAGATAGGATCCGTTATGCAGATTCCCCCATAAAGAAGCTCGTATTTTTTTATGCCGCACATATCCGCTATATCCGTATCCCTTCATTAAACGATGTTCCCCGCAGTTGATTTGATTTGGAGACGACACAAGAGTTTTAGAGGGGTCAAACAATCGCTAAATCAGGCGAGATTATTAAATTTTAGAACGTCTGGCACAAGTGAAATTATGGGTCCCTTTATGCTTTTTATGAATTTGGGTTCAATTACTAAAAACAAAGCATGAAATTTAACTTTTTGGGACTTAAACTGCGGGTAAACAACACATTTAAATAACAATTTTGAATAAAATCAAAGTTAACTACTAGTCTATATTCAAGGGAGGAAATTAAATAACAGCTGAATTATATGTAAATTTATTCTACGTTTATCATACATATATTGATAAGTGCACTTGCAGTGGTTTATTTAGTTAGACGAGTACCCACATGCTGAAATATGCAAATTGCCTCTGTCAGATGTTACATTTGAATTTGAGGTGTGGAGCCAAAAAGTTGTGTAAACTGAAGTGAATTCAACGCACCCGAATCAGATGAATGTTTAATTATTTGCGGTTACATTGATTTAGACGGAAAAAAAACCAATTTTTACTGTCCTTGATATATGGCAAAAAATGAACAGAATTTGTGGTTAACCACATTACAAAAAAATTTAAAATATACATTTTAAAGCTTAGAATTTAAGCTAAAAACAATTCAAAGTAAATATAAATCTAGAGTTTGCTTTAAAAATGTTTTCAAAGTCTCATTTGTCCAATTACACTTTGAAATAGTATTTTTTCACTGCCGGGACTCGACAGATAAAGCTAAACTACGGAGGGGACCGAACATGATAAATACAACCGATTTTATTTGGACTAGCGTGGGACACACATCCTGTGACCAAATCGAACAAACGATTATTTGCATGTAACTCAATTTGTTTGGACTGCGGACTAGGGCGAATCAAATCCAGGACATGATTCCTATCTGACTGCCAAAGCCACCAACAATAAACTGGCAAACTTAAGCTCAAGAACCAAAAAATAAAAAAATAAGGGGAGTTCTAGGGCGAAAGGTCTGTGGACCGGGGCAATTGTCCTTCGGAACCATTACTCACTGGGGACGCTGTCATCTTTGGTTGCCGGCGCCATTTGTTCACATTTGAATAATAAATTAAATGTTGCAAATGTCGTTCTGTTGCAGTTGCAGATTCAGTTCTCAGTTTCAGTTGCCTTTCACCAGCCCGGGCATTTGTCCAGCCCGAGCTCCTGCTCCTCGGCGCTTGGGTTTTTTATGCGTTCCGCCAAAGCCATAAAAATCGCCATTATTTTCCAGCTCCCCCACAAGCCTCATACCTCTCGCCTTCATTTCGCGCTTTGCTGCCTTGTCCACTTTCAGGACCTACTGAAACACGGAGAAAAATATTATTAATCGCTTTATCTTTGTTTCATGATCATTCCCGTTCTATTGTGTTTCTGACATTTCAAATCATATTTTATATATCAATAGGTGAGCTTGTAAATTTATAATTCATACAAGCCAGCGTTAATAAAAACACAGAGACACAAAATCTAGAGTTTATTCCACAAATATCTAAATTTCCATAATATTCGTTTACTAGAAAAATTTCATACAAACTTCGTTAACTCAGGAAACTTATAGCAATATAACTTTTAATGACACTATCTACACTATATTCTAATTTAATAGGTAAAACTTTAAAAAATAAGTTTTAAATCATCGATTTAAATTATCTTAAAATAACTTTCTGACCGCCTAAAGTAGTGTTCTTCGTTAACACGACCTTAAATATATTTTAATGACACTTGGGCGACAATATGTAATTTATATTCCTGTAGTTTTTCTGTGTACTTTTTTCGTGCCCTATCCGTGTCGGTTGCTTCGCTCCGATGCTCCCCATCATTGAGTTTGCCAATAGTTTGCCAAATCCCCAACATCCTGTCCCATTTCCATTGACACCGCCCTAAAATGTCGAGTCCGCACTTTCGGTTGTTTTCAAACTTCTCACTCCGCCCAGCGATTCCTGTGTTTCGTGTGCAAATAGTTTCTGGCCAGGAGCTGCCATTCATTCGAGAAGTTTTTCAGACCCTGTTCCACCGCAGCTCCAAGTGAGTTTTGATTGATGGACATGGTGGCTGCGTGTCAAGTTCGGCAAAACCAGACACTCCAAATCCATTGTCCTGCTCTCCGGCTTTATGTTCCTGTTCGCGGATGTTGAGGGCTGTCAGGATACAGAAATGCGGTGTGGAATTGATGAAACACTCTGTTATGAACCTGCACGTGACTTCTGGGAATAATATTGCAGGATAACCAATCTACTGGCAGTACGAAGTGCACAAAAAAAAACGACAATTGGGGAATAATTCAAAAAATATATATCTAAAAAAAATGTGTAAGAGCCGAAAGGTTTATTCGTTTTTTAAGCTGGTGATTTTGTTTTTTTATCGTTTAATTTTGTTAGTTTTAAAATGATATCAAACAAGTATAATAACATCATTATCCATTTTAAATAAACGCATAATTAAATAGTACACATTGCATGGAACTATATTTCTGTTCAATACCCCATCTTGTTGAATACATCATATTGAATCAAGAATTTCTGAGCACGAAGCCCGCACAAGTTTTATTGGATTGCCTTCGACAAAAGGAAAATTTCTTTATGGAAACTTGCCTGGTGATAGTGCACATCAATATGTCTTCGCTAAGGCATTAACTCAGCCACAAAGCATTACAATTAGGAAAGTGCTCAGCCGCTTAACGCAATCAGGAGCCAAATTACATTTAAGGCCAAATCCATTGAGACATACAACATATAGTACATTCCTGTGCCTGGCAGGGCCAATCAACTTTAAATTGTTTAATGAACACTTAGAACGTTTCGATTCCGTTGGCACAAAACAAACACAAGATGAGGCGATGGGTGAAAAATGGACGGAGGTTGTGGACATTCGTCGGTCATCGCCCACATAAGTCGCAATGGGACGGCAAAATAAACAAACAAAATGCGAAGCCCTAACACAGCCATTGTGGCTAACGCCAACGGCCAACAGTCTGCTGTCCTTCGGACCCATCTCCTGGGCCTACACAGAAAAAAATATTCTGGGATATTGCTCACACAATTAATATATCCTTAAAATCAAAATTAAAATTCATTCTTAGTATAAAATACATTTTCTGGAAACAAATTCGTAAATTTTCAATTTTATTCTCCGCTTTAAGTACCTACTTTAATTGTGTATCTGCTAGAATACAATTGAAAGTTTACTTCTTAATATGCATTATGCCCTTCAAAATAAGCTAGAATTTTAAAGTAAATTACTTACTAATATTTACTATTTTATTCCATTAAACATTTGGAAATACATTTTTAGACATAAACGAAATTGTTTACCTTAACATCGTCTAACTTAGACGTCTTCTTCGTATTTATTTAATTATATTGAACTCAATACAAATTCCAAACAAATGGATTCTTCTTTACAATAAGGCTTTTTTCCCCACAAATTCAAATACTTATTATTATTATTTTATTATAATTTTTCCTTGTGTACTGCTGAACTGTGTTTGGGTTTGGTTCGGGCTTTGGTTTTGCCTTCCACCAGTGCAGCATTTGAATGCGGCTTTTGCCAGAGCAACCTCAGTTCGGAAGGCAGAAATTACGTGGCAGCCACAAGGCAATTTGTGGGCTGGACCACGAGGGGATGGAGCCGGCAGAGACTGATGTCCATCAGCGTGAAATGGCCAAATGACATTTGAAAAACTAAAAACAGCAGCAAGAACAGCAGCTGGCAACGACCGCACTCGACAACTCCGGGCTGTCGACATGCCTGCTGCGCACTCGCCGGGGTCCTTAAGATCCGGACTCGGACCCGGACCCGGACCCGGACTTCTCCATCGCATCCGCCGTACAATGGGGGCGAATTGATAAAGTTGACCGCAAATTCTTTGTGCATTACATTCCCTTCATGGCCGAATCAATCATAATCAAGGCGGAGGGCCACTCGATAAATTGATATGGTGAAGTTTATTGCATTGTCTGCGAAAGTTATTATCCCCTGCGAAAGTTGTCTTGTGTCAAATCTCCCAGCATCTTAACATGATGGAAACAAGAGAGTAAAATACCCATCAAGATGAATTAACTTTTTGTTACTCCCAGACAAGCTTACATAGTTAAATCAACTATTCAGCTAAGTCTATTTATTTTTAAATGTTAATTTAGTATGAATAAACTAGATTTTAAGATTTAATGGAACTATGAGATTTTTATTTTCCAGATATTTTATTGAGAAAATTGTGCACATTAAGTTGACTTTTAACGGAAACAAAGATCTTAAAGCCAATTAAGAATTTACCTATTTTAAGTTTTTACCAAAATCCAATATACACAAGCATCGTGTGAAAAGCACTTTGTTAACGTTCAAGAAAATACCCGTATAACCATGTAAGCCCGATTATAAGTGAAAAGATTTTTGCAAAATCAAACTAACCAAAGGGAAGAGATTAGTTCCATACTTCCAATTTACCTTCCTTTTTTCTAGCTTTTCGAGGATGCGAGAACATTTTGGCACTTGCACATGGCTCCACTCCTCTCCTCCGAAATTCTGGGGGAATTATTTATGGAATGGATTTGCTTTGTTTCCCACGAGTGCCGCGTATAAAATGATATATGCCCGTGGCGGGGATGAGATATGGCATGACAAATACTTTTCAGCATACAGCAAAGAGCGTTTCCTGTCCACCGCCCATTGCGAACCCCTTTGGCTGTGGCACATGCGGCACAGATTTTAGTTGTTTTTAGTCTCGGACTAAATTCTCATAGCCAGGGTGTTGCTGACAAAAAAAAAATATATATATATGTAGAGGTTCTACTAAAAACTGCAGCTGCAAAAGGGAAAATAATGGCGGAAACTATAAAGCATTCCGTAACAGTTTTTTCTTGCTCCCGTTTCTATTTTTTGCCGTTGCCGTTTTCATTGTTATTGTCCTTGTTGACGTTGGTCCTGTTGCCGCCTCCTTTCGCCTTTTGTGCGAGCTGAATGACTCTGATGTTGCTGTTGCCGCTGATGTTGCTGCTAGTGCTGATGTTGCTGCTGCTGCTGACAGGCCGCAGGTTGCTGCTGTTGCTGAGAGGAAAAAGGAGTTGCAGCTGCCATTGTTGTTGGCGCATCGTCTGCTCATTTTTATTTAAAACTCAATTGGACGAATTTCTGCCCCGGGTCGGGGATCAGGCAACAGTCAACAACAATGGGGCCAATTTGTACTCCGTCCGCCAGACGCACAAACGCCATCACCATCTGTTTCCATCGCACTCACTTTAAAGGTAACACTCGTCTTAATGTGGGTGCAAATAAAGTGCTAAGTGAGCATTCTTAGATCTCCTGAAAAAATACAAAATCTTTCTTTCTTTCTTCGTATACCGAACACTATCCCATTATTAAATAATTCAGATTAAAATATAAAAGATTTTGAGGATTATTTTCTGGGTATACATTTGATTTTCTGGAATTATTAGCAGATTTGATTTTAGAATTTAAAAGGAGCATTTATTCCTTTGTTATTACCTTAAACATAATTTAGCAATCTCGTTAGCTATGAAACACATATTTGTCTAAACCTTAGAAAGTTGTAAAGTATTAAGTCTTTAAAAGGAACATTTATTCCTTTGTTCTTACCTTAAATATAATTTAGCCATTTCGTTTATTGCGAAACACATATTTTTCTGGAGCTTAGAAGGTTCTAACATTTAAGCTTGATTTGCTCTGAAGTGTGGAGTTAGGTGGCAATTAGCAGCCCATCAACAACAAACTAGTTCCCGCCATAAATGCAATTGTTTTTGCTCTTGGTGGCATGTCAATGGAGGGCATGACCCGGACTAAACTAATTATAAACTTGGCGAAACTAAGGCAAACCTGTGGGACAGCTCCTGTAGCTGCGGGCGCCCATGGTCATGTATTTTTCGGGCGGCTCTAGCGCCTGCCAAAATGCGAGCAAAGTCTGTGGAAAATGTGGCCAAATCTGGTGCCCGGATTACAGCTTTAGCTCCCGCAATGCCGCCGACGATGACGATGATGCGACCTCCGTTGGCAAACAAACTTTCGGCGTCACACCAAGCTGTCCCGGAAAAACCTCGCCTCGTCCTTCGGAAAAGCGGAAAAGTGCAGTGCCCTGTACAATGAAGCGCCTTTTAAGCAGCGAACGGTGGCTCCAAAACTTTTAGCGTACTTTTTTTTTCAACGCGAAAATCTAGGGAAAAAATTATGCTACTTTGTATAAAATGCAATGCGAGGGTGCCAGCGATAGCGGAAGCACGTAAAATATTTGCATTTTTATTAAAAATTGAATAAATTGAGATGAATATTTCTTGCGCTGCCAAAACTTCTCCCCTCAGTCATCTGGTTATCGTTTTATTACTTTCGGCAAGCAGCGCAAAAGTTTGCAGCTTTTTGTAAAAGTTAATTTCGCTGTTGCCTGCTTCATGATGTTTGAAATTCATAATTAAAAATAGTTGAAAATGTATCTACTGGTCATATTTTATTTAATTTAATTTAAATATTTCCTTGCATTAAAGCCCAGCAAAACAGAGCTGTGCTTTTCATCATGCTCGTTGCTCATACGCCGTGTGGTGCCGATTTTCCGGCTAATTAGCCACCGTCCGGGTGCTCTCGGAAAAACACCGTGGAAACTCTGTGAAGCACTGTCTTTCACAAAAGTGCACAACTGGGCAGCTTTCTTTTTGTCCAAAAAAGTAGCATTGCATTAATGGAAGAATATAATTAAAAGGCTTTCAAAAAAAAAATAAAAACTTTTCATTAAAATATTGCTTAGTTATTGCGCAAAGTAAAGTAAAGGAAAAAGAATTGTGGGAAATTTTTATTTGAATTACAAATGCCACAATAATACTAATGTACATACATTTTTTGTCAATTATTAAAGTTTTGCCTTTTACCATGCTCGTTTAACTTGTTTGGTGTTAAATTATGAATTATTTATTAATGTGACAAAATGTTTTTGTGAAAATTACCAAGTAAATGCATAAATATTTAACAGGCTCTCAAACTTCATTTGAAATGCATTAAAAAGTGATTTTAAATGCAGTCGAAAGTATAATCCAGGGCTTAAGCAAAAATCGGAAATTGCTATTTCTATTTTTTTTAGTAAAACATATTTTTTATATTTTTACTTGTAATAGGTAAAGTTGATTACGTCAGGCAGTAACTTATTCCCATGCATAAATTCTACTTATTTATCAACTCATCCAAGCGTGTAGTTTTCTCCATCTTTAGGGCAATGTTTCAAGTTTGTTTTCAATTTAATTTTATGCTCCGAAATGTCTTCATCTTGGAATTCCCTGGGTTGGGATGAACAATGTGCGCATTTAGATTTGATTTGTACTTTGCACAGTTTGGCATAATTCCTCAGGCAGTCGCAATATAAACAAATCATTGCCTGCCCTCGGCAAACTTTATGTCACAACTTTCACACGACAAAGTTTCGCATTTGTCCTTTGTACGTATGCGAGGGCGTATGCCACGCCCCTCCCCCAAGGAAATCCAAGGGTCGGAGAAGTTAGCTTTTTGGACCAGGGGACACATGTGGCCCAAGTCCATGAATTATGACTGAGGCTTAATTATGTCGGGCCAAGATTAGCCCGGCAGCCATGATTCCGTCACATGGAATAGGAAAAGGTACGGCAAATCGGGTGGATGGAACGTGGCCAGGCCATTATATTGATTCTGATATGGTTATTTGGTTCATTAAAAAGTTTCCCTGCGCATCGTGTTGATGTTTCATGCAAGTTATGAATATAGCCGAGCTCTGGAAGTTTGCTTCTTCTGCTGCAGTTTTAATTAGGGCACAAAATCAACGAAGAAACTTTGACGCACTTTTAATGAAGCAACTTTTCGACGAACGGTTGTATCACCCTGCAGTCAACGCCTCACCACCCCCTTCCAAGTTAACCATTGTTTTGGCCGGGTATGAGACCCGCCAAAGAAAACGCGACCTGAACCTTCACATATTACTTTAAAATTTGTTGGTTAAAAAAATATGTTTCATGACATCTGGCTTCTGGACCTACAATGCAATATTTTTCTTTAATTGATTTGATGACCTCAGAATCATTATTTATGTCTGGAATACTTTAAGAGGTTCAGTCACTAAAATTGATTTTAAAACCTGTTCTTGTACTTTATTTTTGATGTTTTATAAAAAATCTGTACAGAAATAAGTATTTTCTGTTGACACAACGGGAATTGAAGCACAAATGAGCTTGGTTTATAATAATTATCCGATTAGTATTTCCATGTCTGAGTAAATATTTTTTGAGGGAAAAACGGAAAATGGCTTTTTCTATTTCAACTCTGAATTGGCTTTAACAAAACATATATATGTATATATTAAATATATACAAAGCGTTTATACATTGATCTATCAATCGATTAATCGGCCTAGATTTTAAGACCGTATATTTATATTTCGTGAGCAAACTATGTGCAATAAGCTGTTTAATAGATGATTTAAAATGCATTAAAAAACATTTAGCATTAAATATTTTCCATTGAATGGGGATAAAGAATATAACTTTCTATGTACATTTATTTATTATTTCAATACAAGGATTAACCCTATCCATTAAACGATTTCCCATTTCAGACAACTGGGTTCGGGGGATTGCCCGACGTCACCGAGCACTCAAACATCCGCCGCACACTGTCCCGCCAGAACTCGATCTCGAACAGCGACTCCGGCGGCGAGATAGCCAGCATCCAGAAGTCCAAGGTCAACTTCGGCAATCCCTTGGCCGGGGGCGTGGTCGTGGGCGGGGATATAGTGGGTCTGGACGCCAAGTCGCCCACATCGCTCGGTTCGGCGGCGGTGGCAGGTGCCTCTGGAAAAGCCAAGGGAAAGGCCTCGAGAAAAGCAAACACCGGAGCGGATGGCGGGCAGAAGGGGCGCAGGGGCTCCTGGCTGGTGGCCCTCACCCTGGTCAGTGCCATCTGCCTGCTGGCCATCGCCGCCACCCTGGCCTACCAGCACTTCCTCATGGCGCCCAGCCGCAATTCGCACGCCCAAAGACTGAGAATCGTCCGCCGCATCCTGCGCGAGGTGCCGCTGGTCGACGGGCACAACAACTACGCCTGGAACGTGCGCAAGTACGCCCACAGCAGCCTGGAGCTCCACCTCAGCCACGACGTCGACCACAAGTCGCTGTGGGCGCGGCCGGCGTGGGCGCAAACGGACATGGAGCGACTCAAACAGGGACTGGTCAGCGTTCAAGTGTGGTGAGTCCTTGGAAGATCATAAAACTCTAATCTATTTAAATTAAAGTATTACATTTATTTGCATTCGTAAAAATAAATAAAGGAATTATATTGATCACATAAAGTACATGCAAATAAACCATACATGTGTTATGAGATTGGGGGAAATATAGATAATAAGTTGAGTTATATTTTATGACAACATTATATAAAAGCTTTTTTTAAATTTTTAAATAGGTATTAAAAAATAACATAAACATTCATACAACCATAAAGCTTTTAATTTTGTAATAGGACCAATCGAGCCTATTTTCATGCTTAACTGAAATTACAACGTTCAATGGGGCGTATACGCAATGAAAATTCACCTACCAACGTCCAAGCCATGAAAATTGAAAAGTCACATAAAACTGCAATCAGGCCGTTGCGACATCTACCCGGGTCAGAGATTTGACCCATCCACCATGCATTCGAGTGCTGGCCAAAACATGGCACATACAGCCAGCTGCCACGCCCACCAAAGGGGCATCCAAAAATCCGCCCACTCCTGACCTCCGCCATTTCCCCCGCGCGGCAATAAAAAGCTGCCAACAATTTGACTGCAAAATAAAATTTGGCAACCGGCTGGATGCCCCAGGGCAAGCAGCCAACCTGTCTGCTGCCAGTCCTTCTCAGTCTTTTCCTACACAATGCCGACACTTAGAGAAAATATTATGAAAATGTATTAATTACAGGGTTTTTTTAATTGTTGTAGATTTGTGTTGCTTAGGTTTTATAATTAACCCAGATCAAATTTACAATTTATCATTATATTACCTTTTAAGATCTTCAAAATTTCATAATTTAATGTTGAAATGAAAATTCGGACGTAAAAATTCCCTTTTTCCAATGAATCATGAATCTTTAGGAAATTCGGACCGTCAAATTTAAAAAAAAAGTAGGGAAACTCTTATTTGTCATTATCGTTTTTCTGGAGGACAAAGTTTAACTAGAAGACAGCCACTAGTCAGATGTTTTCAGTTAGATAATTTCTATTATAATATTAGGAAAGTAAATATTATATTTCCAAATCAGCAATAACTAAATAAATAAGTAAATTTCAGTACTTTAAATATTATTATATTAAATCTGTTTTATTAGATATTACATTTAGAGTAATGCGACATTTTTAAAAAAAAGAGATACAAACTGTAAATATACTTTACCAGAAGTATTAGCAACCCAACCCTCTTGGTTATTCTCTGTGTAAATTGAACACACCCACTCTACACCCTTTTTTCGAATTTGGTTAGAGGCGAAAAAGGGAAGAGCGCAATCTGACAGGCGGCAGACAGCTGCAGTTTGGGAAAAACGCTGATGGGCAATCGACTTGACTTCATTTTGGAAGGAAACTACACCACCCCAGAAAATTACTGCCACCACCCACCGCCCACTACTGTGACCGCCAGATGGCGCAAGTGTAACTTTTCACCAATTTCGCATTTCAATTCGCTGGATGGCCTTGCTGAACTTGGTTTGGAGTTTGGGCCAAAACCAGCAGGATCTCTGCTCTTTCCGCTCTCTGCGAAGTTTTGAATGCCCCCTGGCTCGGTTATTGCCATATCAAATGGCGAGGCAAAACGAAACGCTGCTGCTAACTAACCATTTTCACACTTTCAATTTGCATTTCCCAATTAAACGGCAATCGTGGGTCGTTTAAAATTGTAGTTCTCGTTGCTGCAGGGGCTAAAACATTGTTTAATGAGATATAACTAAAAAGTAATCATGTACATTTTTAAATTTTTGTAATATTTTTTTAAAGCTATTTATATTTACTAACGATATTTACAAAACTAACTGCAAAGTTGATTAAATGGTAAACCTTTATAATTTAAATATTTATCCTAAAAATCTTTTAAGTTTTGTTTACAAATCTTTACAAATTAAAAAGCAGTGAAGAAAAAAATACATCATTTTGAATTTACAATTTCATGATAGTGAAAATAAATAAATATGACTTAGTAAGAAATGTGGGTAAATATCAGATTAAACATACAAAATGTAATGCTATAATGAAACACATTATTATTGACTTTAAAAAGCTAAGAAAATATCGTTGTGCATTTGGCATCGAAACTGCCTGCAAAAGTGCGCTTTTAACCCTTACACTTTCGTTGTCCTCTTGCAGGTCAGCATATGTGCCGTGCGAGGCGCAGGGCTTGGACGCGGTCCAGTTGGCGCTGGAGCAGATAGACATCGTGCGGCGCCTGTCGGACATGTATGCGCGGGAAACGGTGTTGGCCACATCCTCGCAGGACATCGTGGAGGCGCACCGCCGGGGCCTGCTGGCCTCGCTGATTGGAGTGGAGGGGGCCACACCATAGGCTCCTCCCTGGGGGTCCTTCGATCCTTCTACTCCCTGGGCGCACGATATCTCAGCCTGACCCATCGCTGTGACGTGTCGTGGGCAGGATCGAGTGCCTCGACGGCGGAGCAAGGACTCACGCCCTTCGGCAAGGCCATTGTCCGTGAGATGAACCGACTGGGCATGATGATCGATCTGTCGCACAGTTCGGATGCCACCGCCAGGGATGTGCTCCAGGTGACCCGGGCACCGGTCATCTTCTCCCACTCCGCCGCCCGCCAGCTGTGCAATTCGACGCGGAATGTGCCGGACGACATCCTGCGCCTGGTGGCCGAGAACGGCGGCCTGATCATGCTGAGCTTCGACTCCGAGGACGTGGCCTGTGGACGGCAGGCACGCCTCCAGGACGTGATCGAGCACATCAAGTATGTGCGGGCCATTGCGGGCATCCAGCACATTGGCCTGGGGGCCGGATACGATGGCATCGAGCTGCCGCCTCTGGGCCTGGAGGATGTGTCCAAATATCCGGAGTTGCTGGCCGCCCTGCTCGAGGATCACAACTGGAGCGAGGAGGATGTGGCCATGCTGGCAGGCAGGAACTTTCTGCGCATCATGGAAACGGTGGAGACGGTGCGGGACTACTGGAAACGGGCGGCCATCCAGCCCATTGAGCAGACGGAGCCGCAGCCCAAGACGCAGTGCACCTACATGTCCTCGTGACCGCAGGCGCAGGCGGTGAGGCAGCGGCGGGATGAGCCGCCCATGGAGCGGGCCAATCGCACCACGGCAACGCTGGCGGGGGAACACTTCTGGAACCGCAGTCCGGAATCAAGGGACTCCGCCTCCAATCACTCAGATCCTGCGGTCATCGCGGCCACGGCAACGAGTTTTACGGTCAGCGAACTGCTCCAGTAAAATGGTTTGGATGGCAAACCAAAGTAGGGGATTTTGGTAAGCGGTTCGGTTTGCTGGGACTTTGGCGACTGAGGGCGAGTAGTGAAACAATGACCCATAAAATCAATTATCAAAATAGTGATTTAGGGCAGTGCAAAAGTTTTAGCTTAATTTTTAAAATCTAAATTTAGTTTATATAGTTAAATTTATACATTTTTTTTGTTGCCACAATTTTAATACAAGTGATTCAAGAGCATTTCAAATTTACTTTTAAAGAAGTTTCAAGACACTACTTTGGTTTTTTTTGCCTTTACTTGCAACAGCGTGTAATAATGCACACCAATGTCTTCCTTAACTTCATTTTATTTAAAAAGAAGTTAAAGTTAAGGAAAAAATGTTGATTTCACTTTTATGAAAATATTCTAAAAATGTCTAGTGTAGTGTTTTTAGATTCAATAAATAACAAAACATGTATATATATTTGTATTCGTTTCTGCAACTGTAGAGTAAGACGCATTTAACTATGAAGTTTGCCTGCAAAACTTTGTTGCCATTACTCGCTCTCAGCTGAAAAGTGAACAACTGTCGTATCGACCCTCGTGAATAATTAGTGTGTACTCGTAATTTACTTCCAAAGGATGCATTGATAGGCGTATGAATAAATAATAATAATAAATGTACTAGTATTTAGCCCATAATTGTTTGCAGCTATACTTATTGGTGTTGTGGCTATGCATAATTTATGCACAGTGCGGATACTTATTAATGTTGCTGTACCACAGGGCGTATGCACGACGCAGCTAACTCAAAGCTGCGAACCGAACCGCAAACCGAAATCTTTCTTGGCTTGTCTGTGACTGTATTATACATTTATATGTAGGACACACATCAATGATTCACGCTAATTATCGCAATTAAGCGCAATACATTTAATTACAAAACATCACACAGACACTCGAATATAAATCATCAAAATGAATTAATTGCAGTAGATTTCCCACAGTTGGCAAAAGTCAAAAAACATGCACTGCATAATCAGTCGTAAGCACAGCCACCAGGCCAATGCAATTAAAAATAGATTTTTCACCCTGGTTGCATGTGAATCCATCTTAATTTCTGTACTAGGTTAGTTAAAAGCAAAAAACAAAAATCAAAAACCAAAAACGAAATGTTGTTCGTGTATGCATAGCTACATATATACCACACAAAAACAGAAATAAAAGTAAACTCCAGCAGAAGCAATGCGTATAATCGAATAGAGAGACACGCATTTCCATAAAAATAAATCGGAAGTATAAAAAATCATACAGTGTGTTTTTCATGCCTTTTCTGGGGTTTTTGTGCTCTCTACATTCTGAAAACAGAATAAATTAAAGCAGACTAAACTATGTATTAAAGATTCAATATCACATTTGAAAAAAAAAGTTAGTACAAATTCGTCATTAAAACCTTTATACTTACAGAGAATTTTAAAACGGATCTAAGCTTTAAAAATTGATCCTGTGAGATAATCCATAACTGAATAGTAATGCTGAATTAACTACTATTTTTATGCCAAATCAATCAATGGCATGGAATACTTTAGTTTTATATATGCATAAGGAATGGTAAGTAAGTGAACTCTAGCTTAGCTATAAGGAAAATCTGACATGCACACGCGAATTCTTATACAATCGCCGAGTCAGGGACCATAAAAAACGTTAAGTGGTCGTAAATCAAAATTGTGCAAGGATGGGAAAGTTCGCAAAGTTCTTCCTTTACTACTTCGCGACGACACGGAGTCCCTTCGCCTATTCGGTCTTATTGTCCTCTCTCCGGTATTTATTTCCAGACACTCTTAGGCCAACAGAAAGGAACTCCCAAAAGATCCGGAAATTGGCGGAGGGAGCAGATGGAGCGGGGCATCCTCATCCTCGCTGTGGGCCAATCCAATTTCGTGCATTTGCAGTCCATTGAGTTTTGCTTAAATTTTAATGAAACTAAGCGGTCGGTCGCCTCCCATCCGAAAAACCTATTCCAACCATTTTCGGGGGCCAGACAAACACCCCGCCTATATTTGTCGGCTGCGACGCCATCAAGTTTTAATATCAGCGTTTTTTCTCTTAATTTTTTTTTGTTTACAAGTTTCTGTTTTGATTGCTTTTGCTTGGCTTTGGAATCCAAGAGCACTCCGCTGGGCTTTGTTCAATTTTGTTGATTTTGCGACGACTTAATAGAGTCACTAATTGTTGTGTACAGACAGGGGGACTGCTGGATAAAGCTTTGTAGCAAACTCACGAAAATCAGCGAATATTGTCTGGGGAAAACCTTTATCAGTTCTACGTAGAAGGTCAGAGTGTGATTATGCATTGAGTAGGACTTCTGAGCTTTTGGGTAACCTCCATACACTATTTAAACTTTTATGAAATTAATGTTTAAAAAAATAAAATTTTTGAAACTTCTAAGTCAGAAAGGGTGATTTTATCGAGCAGATATTTTGACAAATAAAAAAATAAAATATTTTAAATTTTATAAATAAAATGGTTGGCTAGGAACTCTGAGTTATCTTACTAATTTTGTAAAGATTATTCAATATTCTACTAATCATATATTTCAGAACTCCTAAGAATTTTCATTATATCAAATATTTTTAAATTCTTGACGATGTTATAGGCGTTATTCAGTTGTATCCATTTAGAGTAGAGCTCATAATTCGGAACTTGAAGACGACATCATAACTTCGTTTACGGTTACATTGACCATTAAAAGTAATTACCCAATTTCACGGACACCTCAACGTAAACAGGCACGACAATCCACTGGAAGTTTTGCGGTGTTAAAGGACAATGAACGTCCCCAGGCGAAAATTAAGAACTGGCCGTTAACGAGACGAGCGGCATGGCATCGCATTCTCATTAACACGCCAGTCCGGTTTCAATTTCCTGTTTAATTTTTCTTTTCATTATAAATGGCTCTCTGCATGGCCCGAAAAGCCACCGTCGGCAGATTCTGCTACCAACTCCGGCCCCACGAGGCAAAAAGCCATAAACAATGCGCTCCGACAACTGCGACGAGTTGATGGACAAAATAATGCCTGATGACATTTATAATGAGCAAAATGTTGTTGCTTTTCGCCCATGTTGTATCACTGTAGCTGTTGATAAGTGGAAATTCGCTTCATGTGGCCGAAATTTGCGCTTCATAGCATCATAAATCTGTGCACTCCACTTACACTAACATCTTTCCCTCCCCAAAAAGCTTCATTATTATTAAAAGACATTATTGCTGAAGCTTGTATGGCAGTTTAAATACCTAGCAGACTGTCACTGACCGAAATTGACTTTAAAATAAATAAATTTAAAAAGAGGGATATAATTTTTTTGCTTGAGAATTTGATTTGATATTGAATTAAGTATTAAACGGTTCATTTCTTAGAAAAAAATAATATTGACTCTTTAATAATGTTCTGTTTCCTTTATTATAGACATGGGTTCTGCATACAAAATGAAATTGTACATTAATATTAAAGTATCTTAATAATAAACTGGTTCTGGAATGTAACTCTCAAATTAAAAATATACTTCATAACTTTTGATAAAATCTTTGCTAAGAAATTATGCCATACTGTCCCTTGGATATACATTTTTAAACTGGTTTAGCGTGTTAAGTACAGACCTTCGTATTTTTCTTGGTTGTTTAACAAAACAGACTTGCCAACTACGTCGTAAAAATCGTTCTTGGTCATATTATTGAAATTAATGTAGCTCAGCAAAGTTTTTATATATTTATGATGGATCATTTTTATCTTACTGTCCTTTGCCTTATCTAGGCGAAGATTACCCATTCGCACAACAGCTGCACCTGCTTCGGTGCTTTCGGAAATCGCCTTAGAAGTGCCGGGTTTGCCATCAGTTTCCGAGGTTTCTTCCTCGTTATCTTTTGCCACATCAACACATTCGATCACATCCTCCACTGCCTCATTGCCGACGGTAACGTAGGACTCGATCATTTTGAACCGCTCTACCTCGGGCAATAATCCCTTGGTAATAATGGTGTACTGCTCGAACACATCTAAGGATAAGTCCAGGACATCATAGCAGTTCATTGTTGATGGAAAACGGTGTTTAAAGTTCTAAAAAGTAATAAATTAAGATCAGTAGTTCAATGTTATTTTAATGATTTAAACAATTTAGGTGAATTTAATACTACATTGAAAACGTAAGAACAATAAAGTACTATTGTTTTTACATTTCTTAGACAGTGGATGATTAAATCGTTTTCTTATAACTTATCAACAATTTTGATAAAATCAAAAAAATGAAATATTCCATTATAGATGCCTTCCCACAATAAATTTTAACTAGCTCACCCTAACAGAAATCTCTATGAGCTCCCTTTGGCCTATGTTATAGGAGTGCTGAAAGAGCTCGATAAGATCACCGATCACCATATAGTCTGCCCGAGCCTTGAGGATGTCCAAGCAGTCGGAGGCGATCGAGCCCACCAGCCAGGTGGATCCGCAATTGTGCAGTTCCATTATCATCGAGTTTGTGTTTTCCATCAGATTTCTTTTGTTGTAGGTGTACACATATTCGAGGAACTTGGCAAAAGTTTCAGGCTTCACCTCGCTCAGGTGGAATCTCCCAGATTTGGACTCCTTGAATTCACTCAGGAACATGCGCTCGAAGAACTCCGATGCACTGGCCAAAATGACTTTGTGGCAATCAAAGGTTTCGTTCTCCACCAATATTTGGCAGTCGCAAAACTTCTTGTTCTCGATGAGATTGGTAAAAACTGGTTCTAGCCTAAAATATTACATGGAATTGTTGAGAATAATCTTAAATAAATTTTTCTTACACATACCATTTCTCCATTTTTTCATTTATTTTGGGTAGTTGCAGAGACTGCTGAAATAAACTTAGATAATTAAAATCTCAAGCTTACAATGTATATGCATACATCAGGGTGGGTCGATTTGGGCACCCGAATATCGTATGGACAGAACGTAATCTGTGAACATTTATAATTAATATTGTCAAGAAACTGTGTCTAAAATCAGGTCTCTTTTCATAAAAAAAAACAGTGAATAAATATATATATATTTTTTTGTTTTAAATTATACATTATTCCTTTGACAATATTTCTTAGAATTGTCGACTGATAATATACCCCCTATGACTTATCACTTTTTTTCGGTCCACACGAATCGACCAACCCTAACAGACATGTACATATGTACATACATAAGAAAGTACATATGAATGTATATGTGTATGTCTTTCTAAGAACTATGTACATATAAGCTTATTCACGCATTTTTTACAGCCGGAATGTTTTCATTCTCATAGTTTTTTAGATTTCTAATATGTTCCTAGCTTAGGACAATTTCTTACGTCATTCATACATACATATGTATGTATTTCAGTGGTACTTATTTCGGGAAACTCCTTTTTTTGTATAATGAAAGCAATTGCAAAATATTTATGCATCTTAAGCCTAATTTTACCTCACCTTATTTAAGCAATCTGTAGAAATATAGTTTCGATTTAAAAAAAATTCAGTTTTTGCGCACTTAGTTATTTTACACTTCTCTCCGATTCCCTCAAATATTTTCAATTAACACGATGTGGGGCTTTTAAACTAGAGGTGGATCGATTGATCGATATTTAATTTTTTGTTGTACATCGATATCATGTTTGAGAGTTTATTTAGGGTATTCCCTAAAATTATTGCTGTTGGCTTCAGCAATTCTAGGGAATACCCTAATTCTTAATTAAAGATTTTTAATTTTTAGTATGCTATGGGGTTCATTATTTCCTGGTATTTACAAATTTTAAGGTTTCCAGTTTTTAACGTTATCGATTCCAGATAATAGGAAATACTTTATTGATCAATGATCATTCAAAACTTAGGATACTTAATAATTTGAATATTACTGGTTATATACTGGTTTCTGCTAACTAATCATTAAACATGTTTGGTTTATTTACTTGGATGTCGTGCTGTATTATTTACTGCGAAGTGATCCAGCACTAGTGAATGTTTACATGCAAATTGCATACACAGCATCTTTTTAACGCGCAGATATTTTAATGTTGGACTTATCACTGAAATTGAAAACCTTCTACTTGAAAAAGCTGTTTCTGTCTGACATTTCCGTATGTGTAATTGTTTTATTTAAGTGAGCTACATCTTTTGTAAAAAAAAAGTAACACAGTTTTCCAAAATTTTTTGGAACAACATTTTCTTTTAGTGGTCTAAAATATTCAAACAAATTTTTAACATTTTATTAACACCAGGAAATATTTTCAGCATAAGCTTACCAATCTTTTGTCAGGTATTCAGAACTTTATTAAATGTATGTATGTATGTATATACATATATGTATATAGCCAAGTATGCACAAGCATACAGTCAAGCGATCCCAACGCAAATGTCATCTGTGAAATTCGTAGCGAGTGGCGGCTGTTTGGTCAGCTCAAATATAAATTATCCCAAATCTGTTTGCTTCAATAGACCACTTGGTGGTCAACACTCCACACTCCACACTCTATGGTATGTCAAAGACATCTATTCGTGCTGTGTCCTGGCAAATCCGATAGTAAATTTTGTGGTCCTGCCCCGGTCCTAGACAATTGACCAACTCCATTGTTGGACGGCCACCGCCCACCCAGCTGTAAGTAATTAGGAAATTTGCAAAATGTTCCATTTGCCGGACATGAATCTGCAAATCTGACGTTGTCCTTGCTGCCAATTCTCGCATTGGAAACCGCATTATGCACACAGACGAATATCATTTCCCATCGAACACTTCGCCAAGGACTGTGTTTGCAAGACAAATAGCAGTTAATTATTACACAACTCGTCCTTTATCCATTTATAATAATTCATCTTGGTCAGCGTCAGCCATTGCACACTTGATATTGATATTTGCTCATGGTCTTCGATATTTACGGATAGTATTTGGGTGTGGGATTATAAATTAAGCACATTTGTTCAATTGGCAGTTATGTATGGTGCATATAAATTAGGGATTTATTGATGCGCCTTCGTTTTGGAATGTGTCTATACATTTTTCCTATGAAGTATGTTTTTATTAGCCAAGTAACATCAACGCTTTATTTAAAAAATAAACTGAACATAACAGTTTAACATCTCAGCTTTTGACTTACTTTTGACTGACTTATAAGGTTTATGTAAAAAAAACTAACTCATTAAAATAAATAATAAATTAATCAAAATTAGACCAGGGGCTTATACTTAAGAGGCTCAATAATGAATGAATAAAACAGATATATTTAAATATGTTCCTTTTTATTTGCGGTATTTCAGATTATATAATTAAGAGAATACAGAAATGGAGTAGGCTATAATCATAACCATATTAAAATTAACACGTATTGTATCCGTTAACGTAAATGGATACTGAATGTCCATCCTTATTTATGCAAGACCGACAATAAATTATGAACATGGGCCTGAGGCTTTTGTACTTCGAATGCCCAATGTTTTGGCCGTGCGTGTACGTACAACTTAAAATTGATTTACTTTTGCTGCAGGCCAATTTGGCACGCTCATTTGGCCAGGCCACGACTTGGCTTGTAAGAGTTGGCCAACAGAACACGCTCGTAATTAAGCGTCCCCGGAGTGTAGTTAATGCTGTGGTGCCATAAATTTGACTTTTGTCTGTGTTCCAATGTCTGTGAATTGTGTTATTTACGGGTGGAAGCTGCATTTGTCAGGTGAAAAGGAGATCTTTGGTTTGAGACCAGCTGGCTTAAGGCGTTTTCATATTCAATTTGGCAAACGCAGGGCTAACTATATTAGTTGAAATGAAAATATATTTCCCCTTTTTCATGACTCACAAATTTCTTTTTTGCGGAGCAATATACAAGATATACATATATTGATGTTTAGAAAAAAAAAGAAATTAAAATGTTAAGCATATTTTTCTTCTCTGTCAACACCAACAAATCCAGAATTATCATTAGATGCCTAATCTTACTTTGACGTTGTGTATGCATAAATTGAATAATTGCTAACAAATATCATGCAATTTAATGGAGATGTACCTATCCTAACATCTAAATAGTCCAGTCGTGAGTTCTATGAACAAAAATTATTGTTCAAAATTTAACTTAAAGCTGTCATCAAAAGCACCGCGGATTCCACAAAGTTTTCACCCATTGAGGTTAAACATTTGGCGGAATTAAACTGGAGGACATATTAGTTCTGGTAATTTTTTACATTAGAACCTCGTTGATGTGGTGCATATTTTTGCTGTGACCAAGGACTTTAAAGCAAAACACTGCCACAATTTCCTTTGGAGGGGCTTACGGGAATGAAATCGGGAAAAGAAGAAGATGGGCTCATTTTCATTGGGGGAAAACTGCCACATCAACAAGTTTTTGTTGTTTTTCCGCCTTCAAAGTGCATTCGCCATGGAAAACTCCGGCTTCGAAGGAAACGATTCAAAGACGCGACAGCAGCCGCCCATTATCAGCATGTAAGCATTGGTGCAAGTGCAGAGAAAAAAATCAGGAGATTGGTGACTAATTTTGCAATGCATAATTTCACTAAACATGATATTTCAAGTCATTTAATAAAAAAAAATAAAGTTACGGCTTTATATTTAAGATCTTGTCTAACTATTAAGTAGCTCATCTTTTTACAATTTTTACAAAATTATCTTTAATATATCAGAAATATACCTGAAAAGTATGAAGTACCTCTGTTTTTTTCTTTGTTCAAAAAAAATTACTGAAATTGTTTTTTTTTTGACACATCTAACCAGAATGTACCCTTAAACATAAACATTTAAACATTGGTGCATTTAATTTGTTTTGAAATCTAATATCTCATTTAATGAACAGGTTTTAAGCTGTTTACATTTCCTTGTGAGCAAACATACTACTTTTTAAATATCATTGAAATTAAAATTGAACGTTATCCATATTTGAATATTGATTAAATGGATGAAAGATTTTCTTATAATGTACTTAACGCAAAAATATAACATTTAATTAAATAACTAAATCAATTTATCTGAAAGAGAAGAGCCCTTAAGAGTGAAAGAAAAATAGTAAAATAATATTTTTAAAAGCTAAAGAAAAAATATTCAGTTTTTTCCCTTTACACATACCAATGTGTATATATCTGGCTGTCGACTTGTCCATCTCCTTGCTCGTTACATCGTGAAATATGACAATCTACGGCGAAGTTTAAATGCAGGTGGAAGGAAGCCGGGCTGGAGGACTCCGGCACTCAGGTGTGCACGTTTATGGACAACATAATGGCGGAATCGAGTTGGGCAAAATATAACACCCACGAGGGAGCGAAATGATAGAGACTTGGGTGCGAGACAAGCTCATGCAAATATTCATAAGGAAAATATTAAAAATGAATTACCAACTCTGACATACGCAAACTCTCGGAGACACTTCGCGAAGTTGGGAGCTATCCAATCCCACCCAGTCAAGTCCCATAAGAAATTCTACATAGGAAATAAAGTGCTTGTATATAATCCAAACACAACGTTGTTTGCAGCCAATTCACTGCCAGTTAACTTTTTCTCGCGCTTCTCTTTAAAGGGTTGAATGGTGTGGGCAAAGAAATGGGGTAACCTTTGAACTTAACCAGCTTCTCCATTATTTCGTTTATTTATTCGCTTTTACATCCGAAATCACATTTATTTAATAAGTAAAATGCCTGTTGAAATTGCTTGCGTCCTCCTGCTGCATATTTTCTTTTGAATCTAAATAAGTAAAAAAAGGGTTAAAATAAACATGGAAATCCTTTGCATTCAATAAAATTCATAAGTTAGTGAGTTATTTGTATGCCTTTTTTTTGTTGTTACAAGCTATAAATATATATATTTATTTTTATTTATCACTTATGCCTAGTTGTCAGTTTCACATTTAACCAAACTCCAAGTATCTACGACACTAAAACTGGTCACGCTGATCAACAATTACTTTACCATATTTAAGAAGAATGCCGTCATATGTGGAAAGAATTAAAAAAATTTTAATAAGAATAAAGAACCTAACATTGAAATAAATTTTCTTACAAGTAAAAAAAAACACAAATATGAAACTTTTCCAAAAGTATATTTTCGCAATCTAAAAGATTCCTACTGAGCCCCAAATGGATTTCCTTTTTATTAACCAAAAGCTTTGCATTTTCAATTAGGCGAACACCAATGATTTTCCACAAAGAAGAAGAAAGAGGAAATAGAAAGGCGCGAGTTCAAAAACTCATCCCCGTGAAGTCGGTTAATTTGCTCATCTTCTCCTGGACGCATTCGTGCCCTCGCGGCGCATCCGGCGGAATCGAACACGGCCGTAGTCCTCTGCTCTGTTCATGCATGACCACGCCAATGCTTTCGCTCCCCATTCGGTTTTATAGCTGCCATCGCACATTGGTCCAGAGAGCTAAAACCTGGTATAACTTATTGGAACACAAAATAGATAAAACAAAAATATTTCACATTTTTGGAATTCGATAACATATTTATAAATATAATCACTCTTTAAAATGTATATCTTATTTTAGATTTTAAAGGCTATTTTATAGTTAAAAAAAAATTGTTTTTATTTATTCAACTCC